GAAGACAGATAAAAGGAGGGGCTGCAATGTCCAAGTTTGGAAAAAATGCCACCTGTGCAGCAAAAAATATCCGCTTGTTGTTAAGAGATCACCCTGAAGAGGAAAATGCGTGGAATCTTTCTCCTTCCTGACAGACAAATTAATAAATGATGTACTTTAATTAACTTAAGTGAATGGGGAGTACAATGATGATTATCAAGTGGGACAAGTCCTTCAACTTTCGCCATGCACATTAAAAAGACATGCAGCTTTCATGCGTTACAGGAAGCGATGCCACTTAATAACTCGCTGAAGAACGATATAGATGACGATACTTTCGACCTAGAGAGTGCCACTCAGACTGATATAGAGGGAAGCCCTAATATGGGCGTACAAATTCTCCAGACTATTCTCCACACGTTTCCTTAGGACGTGATTGATAGAATTTTATAGAAGATCAATGCCTCATAACCTTTTCTCTTGACGAAGTTTTGGGATAGTGTCCAGGGGGTACTCCCTTATTAAAGCCATATAGGTATGTGCCACCCCATCGGGTAGGGTTATGGGGTCTTTTTGGTCTGAAAACGGGTATACACTTTGCTCATTTTGGTCGCAATCGGCTATGGTTTTCGAGGGAACTACGGAGTGTGTGAACGTATTTATTTAATTCCATATGATTAAGAAAGATTGAGAAATATGCGAATTCGAAATTGATTTGAATAATTTTTTGTTTGCGCTATAATCTAAGTAATGATAACATAATTTCTACCTAAAACCCAGGTCTAAAAACGGGTACGGATTTTAGACGTCTAGTCTGAAAACAGACGTAAAATTACAGGCCCGTCTGAAATCCAGTCAGGATTTGAAGAACAATGTCAAATTGTTCCGTTAAAACAGACGTACCCTCAGGCCCGCCAGGAGATTACAATGTCAAATTGTTCCGTTAACAGGGAGCTAGAAAACCTTGACCTTAATCTCACACTCGTACTTAAGTACCTCACAGCTTCAAAGGTACAACGAACAAACAGATAGATTCTCTTCATTTTTTACCGTCGAATCTTTTGCGTTTATCAATGATTCGAGGGAAAGGCCTATGGAAAAGGTTTTTAGCCATCAAAAACTGTCCTGGCGATTCAACATGACCCAAACACGCGCCAGTAAGGTCAATTCCAACTTTGCAAAAGAATTGACGGCATAAATCATAGGTATCTTTCTGAAACCAGTCGAATGATTACACTTGATACACGCACTTGACCCATGAAACAGCACAGTGAAGCCGGAAGTTAGTACCAGTTGCTTACACCATTGAGGTTTAATTCTCCATTACATAGAATGGGCTGCTAATGAAATTAGGCCTATTTAGGACAGAAAAAAATATCTGTCCTTAGAAAAAGGAAGTCCTTATTGGGGACTATGGCTTGAGAATTAATTTAAGATTTCCTATATAGTCATTTTAAAAACAGAAGAAGAATTTGAGAGCAATAAGAGAAAAATCTGACAAAGAACAGTGCGGACGGGAGACAAGAACAATCAGACACTTCAAAAAAACATTCTAGAACTTATCAAGCCGGAAGATGTCCATTTAAAAATTCCGGAAGTAGTAATTTACAACTCTAAGTGACACGAAGTTTTCTCGGCTTCTGACTGGGTTAAATGGACTTCTTGATACAAATTCATGACTTTTTAGCCTAAAAGTTTTGTTTTTTTTCGCAAAACACTTTTTTCTAACAGTTGAATTGTGGAGCTAAAGAAGTGAAACTCAAAGCAAAATATTTGAACATTAAGCAGATCCTTTACAACTGCTTGGCGGTAAAGCTTCAAACGACAGAGGTGACGAAAACCAATCTCTATACATTAAGGTTATCAATTATATTCTTCCCAGGTTTTATACGAAGTTGTGCTTAGTGACAAACAATCGCGCGATGGCCATGAAAGACAACTGATGGAATACCTAGCAAAAAAAGTAATTTTACTCACACAATGGGGACGTGTGAGACGTTTAAGAGCATGATAGCTACAAGGACACTCGGGCGGGAGTAATCTACTTTGAAGGTACTCGAAGAGTTAATTGACATCATCAAAAACGAGAACGAAAAAATGTTCATCATTTCACAAGCGCGAGCGTGAGACATGGAAAAAATCTAAGTCCTCCACGACGGACGTCCGGGTATGACCTTTTTTATATCGTCATATCATAAGATAGCTTTAGTCGGGGTTCCCTGCTAGCAGAGGTCTCTCTCGTCGTGAGAGACCTCTGCTAGCAGGGAACAGTCGGGGCTGAAGGCGAAGCTTTATACCGCTAATGAAAGAACTTTGCAATAAAGAAATCCAATTACAGTTGAGCCTGCGATCAGTTAGCGTTAAAAACCGGAAACAAGTCAGAGGTAAACAAAAAGAACACCAAACCTCGATGGGTCGACAAGTGAGCCCGCCGTACGGTCAGGTAATACTGGTCAGCGGATACTTTTTTTGACAGCTGTCAATTGACCCACAACGTGGATAAGCAATATCAGGTTGCAGGGTGCCACACTAGCTAAAAAGTGTAGCATTTTACATTGGTTTCCTTGTGGTGCAGACGGACGGATGGACGGACGGGCGGACGGACGGACGGGCGTGCGGGCGGACGTATGGTCACGTGACTACCAAAATTTCTCGGAAGGATATATATAGGTAACCAAGTTTCTTAGCTATAGGCCTCCGCTCGCGTGGAGCTCCGCTGATGGCTGGGAGATTGTTAGCATAACCTAAATTCCTAGCGGCGTTGCAACTTAACGGTGTCGTCGTCTGCTTTAGGAAGAAATCGTAAAATTATTCATGCTACGAGTAAAATAATGGTATTCTCAATCCATACAACATTTAGCTTCAATTTTAACTTACCGAGTGTTTCGTTTGTGTGGTAAATCAATCCGTGTGGAAAACTAGAGCATTCCTCAACTGAGACAACTAAGTTTCGTCCAGGCTCTAAACTGTCAAATTCAATTTTGGAAGCAAGGACCAACTTACAAAAAAGAAGGACTGGGTCCTAATAAAGGATCTAATCACCTGTAAGTGGAAATGTTTTAAAATCAACATTTTGTTCAACATCTAAACTATCAGTTCGTCTACATCTTCAGGGTCACAAGTAAAGAAACATATTTAAAGTTGAATTGAATTGATTGACGAATGAAGTGGGTGGCGTTTTTGCACTAATTCCTGTCTTATCAACTCTTAGACCCCGTTTACAAGGGCCGGACAAATTTTTGAACGGACCAAAACGTCCACGGATCCGCCTATTGTTTATACAGGACCAGCAAAACGCACGTTTTTGAGCGGAAAAGTGTGCAAATGCAAATTTTTAACGTGATCAGAAAGAGGTTCCGTGTAAAAATTCGGATCAATTCAGGTTTTGGGGAAACTGCGCATGCTCACCTACCCCTACAGTAAGCCGTCAATTTGCCCTAAATGAGATGTAGGTGTTAATGTAAGCTTAGGGGAAGGGTAGGTGAACAGTTACCTAGAAACCTAAATTCATGCAAAAACTCCTTGTAAACAGGGTCTAAATCTCTATGAAAGTTGTTAAATTATAATCCCGGGAACTGTGTGATGAGAGAAGCTCTTGGTGATGACCAGATCTTGCACATCATGGTGAATAACTTCAATCCGAAGTTCAATTTTGATTCACTATAGCGCGACGTTCTCCTTCACAAATCACAGAGGCGTCTTCCACGACTTTCGGAGGTCAATCATGGCCTTTTTTGAGTGGGTAAAGGTCTCTCCCATAGAGAGGAGAAGTGTACGTTACCACGGTACCAAGGTAGCAAAATTTCTGGGAGGACCACTTGAACTGTCGAACGATGAGAGAGAAGTATGGGCCACTGTTTTCTTCCTGAGTGCAATCATTCACAGGATAGTCATGTCAATTTTTCGCTTTTGTTCTACCAAATGGACCACGGTTTGTTGAGAGGGATTCACTGTAATTGGTTAGGCTGTAGTGGTCTCCCTACCTAATAATTTTTATGTATTCATGTACAAAGATTGTATTCTAGTTAGGCGAAGCTAAATGAATAAATAAATAAAGATCCAGACATTTCGGTACCGTGGCCACGTGACGGAACGACTTCTCTTCTCTATTTTCTAAGGGAGAAAGCCCTGGGGACGAGGTTGTACTCAGTCTCTCTCGTCAGTACTCTTAGTTCAATCTAAAGGTTCCTTGTGTTCATGAAACGGAAAGTCACTTCGGTAAAATTGGGATCCTTTTTCTTCCTGTGTACTTTCCACGGGTTGTTAAAGCACTTCTTAAGTTCATTCAAATCATGATCAAGCACTACTTTAACAGTTCCGGTAAAATAAAAGGAAACGGATGGGGAGTATATTACATATTTTGAAATCGCAAAGTACTTTTGTATAAGAGGAAGTAAAAGAGAAAAACAGTGATGACATGACAGAAACTAAAAAATGAAATAATGGGATTGGTTGGTAAATTCAAGAGAAAAAGATGAAAAGTACGTACCCTTTTACCAAAAATCAGGGATCAAAACGGTAATGACCCAGGCCTATTTTAGACAGATTTATCTGGAGTCGTCAGTCCGTAACGGTAGTAACATTCCCTAAAGACTACTGACAAATTACACTAATAGGTTTATTTTTCGCAAGGGAGTATTTTCCTTGTTTCTTCTGGATATACCAATCAATAATTTCACCAATTTGAATTTTTGTGACGTTATACCCCTTTACTCTACAGATGGCTTATTTGATTACCCACATCAGGAATTTACTTCCTCAATAAATCTGGGTTTGAAATTATTCTGGTTATCACCAAGACAGATGTACTTTCAACTGTTAAAAGCGAACGTATCCCCGACCGGATCACTACTTAAATGAAGACAATTGCGCTTGATTTTTCTACGTTCTATATCAGCATCCACATTCTCTCCACTGTTCGCCAGACCTTTCCCTTCGTAGTAATGTGGAAGATTTGTTTAGCAATCATTTCCTTTTTCCTTGCACCACATGGAATAATTAGCATCAATACCGTCATAATACCGTTTTTTATCATGCAAATACAGACGTTTTAGTAAGATACCTAAATTTAGCAGGATCACTTTCCATCAGATGCTTCCTGTCGAGCCACTTCGAAAGACAAGTAAATTCATGTGAGATCTATCCGTTTTTGGTTGGCTGCAAAATGAGACCAATACAAATCTTAGCTTCTAAGACGCTATTAGTTTACTTTGCAAGCGTAACAGTTTCTGCAAATGGTGAGTATATGTAACCAATTTTATCGCATGTACGATGTCCCTGTCGTTAAGTCGACACTACGTAAATTCCTTAACAATCAGTACAGTATCTCTCCAGCTGCCCAAATCTTAGCAGAGAAAGGCTGATGAAGCATAAGGTCCTTTAACACTATGCAGCTAGCTGTAAGGCATCATTTTATAAATCCAGGTTGGCAGGGAATAGTCTGAAACCAAGAGGAGTGTTGCTCTAGATATGCTGACTTGATATCAACAACCGCTACTATGAACAATTAAACTGTTCAATTAATGTTAAATATTTTAAAGAAAATATTTTAGACCAAGACATTTCATCCTATACATCTACCACACAGATAAAGTCGAACGATAGAAATAAAGAGACAGGTGGAAATAATCTAAGCGAGTCGCTGATGTCCTCTGCAAAACATCGGCTGCATGGGCGATAACCTAGGGAGGAACTCGTGTCATAGTCAACTCAGTCCATTAACTAGGTTTATGTCTACATTTGATGAATAATCTTTTTAGCTTCTAGCAGTCGAGTGCCGAACAGCGGCCATGTTGCTTTTTCCTGTGGGCCACAGGGACTGATTCACCACACAAACGAAACAAATGGTAAGTTCATTCAGAAAAAGATGCTTTCGATACCGTCATTTAGTCTTCCTCGAAGGCACCTTTAAAGGATATCTCTCACAGGAAATATATACACAGTCTTGGTTTTTTTTCCAAACGTGGGCAAATCTGTGCTCGGATGTACCGTTTACTTCTTAAAGTGACAACTTTTAAGGGATAATTTTATTTAAAAGGATCACAATCCATGACCACTATGGAATAACATCACGCGGTCCGAAATGGGAAAACAAATACGGCCCACGACGTTGCCAACCTTCTATCATAATGAAAACAGACGTGCTTCATTACGCCCTACACACAAGCTATATTGTTCCAGCTTAAAAGGTTGGCAATCAGTCATGGGTAATTGGGCATTGGGGGTCATTGGGCACTTGGGCATATGGAACTCACTACAATGAGTAGCGTGAGGTAACACCAAACAATAGCTTCCCAGCGCGAAATTGTTAATACCCAAAGCAACCGTCATTGAATCAGCTATATACTAAATCAAAGTATTGATCTACTTTTTAAGCCTATAAATTTATGTTCTGCGATAACAAATGAGTGATATGTAACGACAAAATGTTATCTTTGAGGTTAGTTACGTATGTTAATAATGAACTTCCTTAGGACTCAAACCGAAAGTAACCATCATTTGCCCCCAAATGCCGGTCATGATGGACACACGAACAGAAATAACCTGTGAAGTAATATCCAGCAGCTACGCAAATATCACGTGGTATCACAATGGACAACTAATCAGTCACAAGAAAAAGTACAACGTAAAAGCCGACAGAAAAACATGCGATCAAACGCTCAAAATTAAACACGCAGGAGCAAACGACAATGGAAACTATACCTGTGTTGTAGTTAACAGTGTTGGAGAAGAGACAAAAACATGTTCTCTTGTAGTCAAAGGTGAGAAAAATGCAATGATGATGATTTAATGTCAATGTGGTTTATGGCCTGAGAAAACAGCTGACATTTCGGGACGTCACCACAGGTTTCCCCGCGAAATGACGTCTGCGAAACGAGCGCAGAAATTCCACTACTCTGATCTGGGTAGTAACGCGTCATCAGAATGGCATTTCTGCGCTCGCTTCTCAGACGTCATTCCCCGGGGAAACCAGTGGTGGCGTCGCTAAATTTCGGCTGTTTTCTAAGGCTATGTGCTTTGTAATTACAGCGGTTTAACGGCAATTTATGTACTACTGTAGAAAGAGATTTAGAATCACGTTCACACCAAACGATTTCAAAGGTCAATTTGTACCACGAGTCCAAGTTTTTCGCTTGTTTTTCGTTGGTGTGACGTATTGTATTGCGTATCGAGTTGTCCGGATGTAAGCACGAGTTTAATCTGTTTTTTCATATTTCAGCTGATAAGCTTAAACAAGTTCATATCGAATATTTGAAAATAGCCGGGCACCGCAAAAAGGCTTTTCTTGGAGGAAGAGCCACCTTGACGTGTAGCATGTTCAACGCGGTTGGTACTGTTTGGCGGAAAAACGGAAGGACGGTTATAAGTAATCGCCACGTTTGGTCAACAAAACACTTTTTTCATGGGCGTGGAACCAAGTTTTACTTGGAAATCAGCAATGTTACCAAAGATGATGAGGGTTTATACATGTGCTCCGGATACGCCAATGGAATGTCTGACAATAAAACGCTATACCTGCAAACAGGTTTGTCAAAAAGAGCTAAAAAGAACCATAAACTAAAAAAGTAAAGCATCCATCAGGGTCAGTGCATAGTGCTAGTTATAGACCTCGAGATTTACCACTATTCACCTGGATTTCAAGTCATAGAAAATCAGATTTACGAGCTGCTGAAAGCATTCGTTTTACTAGTCGGAGAAAAGAGCTAATAGATCTGCGAATGAAACACATAATAAATAAATGTCTTTTGACGGTGTTTTCGTATTGCCTGCGTGTAATACTGCTTCATTTGTCTTTGCAGAGGAAGAACCTTGCATCGCTTCAATCGTAAACACAGCGGGTCTCAGCAGTTTTGATCCAAGGCACGCATCACTACTACTTGTGTATGCATTTCTGGTTATCTACACTGTTTAGCACTGTTCCACTGACGAACAGCTGTTTTTACTTTAAACACCTTTTTCAAAACAGGAACCAACTGAACATTCATTTTAAACTCACTCAATTGGACTCTTCAGCATGTAAACAAGATTAGACGTACTTTCGAAAAATGTGCATGATTGTTTTGCCAAAGTTGTAAAATTCCGGCGCAAGGCAACAAACAAATTTGTGAGTTTTCGCAATTTTTCCACTTTAGCAGTTCTTATACTTTTGGGTCTATGGGATTTGAATATTAGCGAAGATGGAACGCATATTGGTTCCCAGCAGCACTAATATAACAAAATATAAACTCTAAACTCGTAAATATGCGAAAATCCAAGCAACTGCACTGAAGATCAAGTTAAGTTACTCAGCACACCATTTGGAGGCTTGCAGACAGCACTAAGTAAGAAATTATATATCAGAAAATTAAACATAGCACAAAAGTAGATCAGGGTATGGTGCGATTATCATTGTAAAAATCTGTTTGGAATGGTACTGTTTATTTCACGAGATTTGATTTTTGCTTGCTTTTTTCTTTTCTTTTTCGTACGCGTATGAAACCCGCTATTTAAAAGCCCCTCTCATTTCAGAGCAGGAGGCAATAGTATGCAACTTTTCAATTCCCGAAACCACCCTCTAACCCTGTCCTATACCCTGAAACAAAGGTTTTTACGTCTGGTTACTTGTATGAACGTATTAACGAGGAAATAAATGGTTCGACACTGATTCAAGCAGGTATTGAATAATCACTTGAAAATGGTTAAACAAGGAGCATAATAAAGGCATTAAGAAGAATCAAAACTGTCAAATTTATACCTTTATGGCAGGGATTAACTGTTAAACCAGGAAGACAGTGAAAGAGTTCCATCGCGTGTATAAAGGGGGATCACGTTACGTCGGCAGCTTTTACGAAGACCCAAATCAAAAGAACGCCAATCACATATGTTTACTCCGCGGCTACCGTCTGCTCTAATGGATATGCTCTTGTGCTTTGCCTTTGACAGTAACACCGAACTTTGTGAAAGGCCGACTTAGTAAACAAGATCAAGTAATGAGGCTAAAAACCTTACGCTAAACTTAGTTTCCATTAACGAAACATGTCTCCTTCATAAACGAAAAACAACGCAGATCACAGAGGTTTCGTTGAAGTTACAATGAATCACGTCTGCGCGATCTCAGGGCACTACGGCGGATTATAACTACATTATACCTAAATCCACACGCTCATCTGATTGTAATGAAAGCTTGTCAAAAGTTGTACTTAGAGTAAATATACATTAGTAAATCACATTCTTCAAGCTTTTGAAACTGCTCAACAAAAGCTCCTTTATTCTTATTATGGAGTAAACAACGTTTTCATACCTAAAACGACACAAAACATCGCCAAGGCTTAAACGAACCGAACCATGCATAACAACGGAGCTGAAAGTGAGCTTAGCTTCTCTATTGCTAATATCCTCAAAGTCGAGAGACCTGCAAATGGCTGCTTTAAGCCGGAACAGACTGCCAGCGGTGCTCAGGACTCAGAAACTCCGAAAAAAGGAGACCATCTTAAAAATTCCGTGTACAACAGTCTACCTTGGCTCGCCTATACACGTTACTGTCCACCCAAAATCCCAAGTAAGTAAAGTTGCTAAATGTATTAACCTTTAAGACAGGTGATTCTTTAAGGACTGCAAATGAACTGAGAAACGTTAGTTGTTTAGCACCTTGTTTAACTTCAGCGAGAACAAAAACTGTTTTTGAGGTTGACATGGCATAAGGGGCAGAGTGGTTGGCCGTTACCCATTTCAGTCCTCTCTTGACGTTTTAGAGATGACTCGCAATTTAATCTAGATTTGGACATAGCACCAGTTCTGGTTTGATGTTGGATGAAAAGTCTGATGAGATGAGCGAGTGCTCGAGAAGGAAGCAAAGGGCACACACGAGTTTTGTTGAAATAACTGGCAAAATTTAGTTCAGGATAATAGCATATCACTGTTTTGTAACGAATCAGGCATTAAAGAGAAAGGGTCAAGACGAAATGTTTACAAATTTCTCTCAGGGTCAAGGAATCGAAAAATGGTGAATAGACGGAGGATAAGTGGCACTCCAAGAGTTCCTTTCTCAACGGAGCAACTGACGAAGTTAGAGAAAAGTTACGAGGAGACACAGTACGTGTCATCAGCCCAAGTTACACAACTATCAGCCATGTTAAAGCTTCCAGCACACCGGATAAAGATTTGGTTCCAGAACCGTCGTGCGCGAGAGAAAAAGAGAGCGAAAAAGATGACTGAATGCATAGCCCCAAGCAAGACCATTGACAAAGTTGAGGCCAATGACAAGCCACATGACCGCGTACCATACCCAGCACATGTTAATGGCTTTGGACAATGTAGCGGGAGAAAAGACAAATTTTCAACCCATTTCGCGTTTCATCATTTTAACCGCGCCAATATGAATAATAAAGAATGGTGCGCCAGGTTAACTTTGCCGCCGATCCATCTATTTAATCATTTTGATTATAATATCTACAGTGGCCTGACAATTCATGTTTAACGTTTCTTGCCCACTCCCTCCGCCAAAACACTTCTCCCAAGTTAAAAATCGCTTTTTAACCATCACTCATTAACAAACCTGTCTTTAAGCTCCTCTGAAAATGTGCGATTATCTTCAATGCCAGCCAAGTGTTCTCGCTTACAACCCATGGATAACTTTATATAGCAAGTAATGAGCTATTAAAACGTTAATTTTTCTCGCAAGACTAGAACTACAAATAAAAAAAGAAAGAAAACGGAGAAGAATGAGTTACTGTCTCTAAATTAAGAGCAAAATAATTAGCCCTTTTAATTAAGCCCCTTTCAAGGGATGGGCTTCTTTGTTTCCAGCATGCGGTGCAAAGATTACGTTAGGCTATATTAGTCTGTCTTTCCAGATTATTACAGCCCTGTATCAATTCCCTTTAAGACGCGTGCAACAAACCTAACTCGTCGTTAGCTAGGTTTCCTTAAACCTTTAAAGAGACTAATTTATTTTCCAACGTATTGTCACAAGACGCAAGACGCAAGCTTGGCCTACTTTTAAAAGTCTTTAGGCTCAGGAAACTTTCATCTCAACCGCATAGTTACTAATTACGCAAGTAAACTGATTTTTAAAGTCGAAGTATTTAGCTATACTGCCTTTGTTCTTTGGTCCAGTATAACTGCTGTTTGATATCAAAATCAAGAAGGAAAGAGTAAAAAGGAAAGACAAAAAAGGGACGTCAAATTGCAGCACACAGTTTCCCCAAACCCCGAAATTTACAATTTGCTCTGCAATGAAATCCCATTTAATGAACACCTTAACAGTTTCAGCTGCTGCTGTAGCAATATGGTTCAATATGGATAATCATTTGCTGGGATAAAGAAAGCATTCAAACCGACTGACAAGTATCAACCTGTCCGCTTATCTCTTATTATTGCATGCACCACGGTGGTTATCGGCTACACAATGCATATTAGGCAAACAACGCACAGGGAAAAGTTTTAAGAATCTATTACAAGATCACTGACAACGTTATAAGCTAATACACGCTAAGAAAAAGGCACTGAAGTACCGGAAATGTTTGATTGCTCGTTCTATTGGTATGAGTGGGCTGTGTGTGCATGAGGCATGTCCTTGATGATGTTAGGTTTATACCTCTCAAATTCACGTTCCTTGTTGTACAAATGATATGTAATCAGTATTTCAAGATGGTTCACCATGATCACATACAAAAACTGCAACATAAACAAGTCTTAATTACACCTAGTACACGAATGCAGCACACCCATGAAATCCCAACGCTCAAGAGCCTAGACATTTGGCGCGAGGTTAATCCGCAGTCAATCCCTTGAACCTTCAAGAACACGTTCAACAAGATCTTTCATAACCGACGATTAAGCTATTCAAATTTGATTTTCAGATTGAATATTGACATTAGGGGTTTGAATTTACGAAAGTAGAATACTTTTACTTAATCAAATCTTAGCGATAACGCCCTTTGTGTTGTTTCAGGGCGTTTCAGATCTAAAGCCAGCGGCCTCCATTACAATTTGGAACAATCTGCACTTTCTTGTACGAAGAACAAATAATAGCCTTGTGAGAATGAACTTTAACAGGAGCTTGAAGATCAACCGTTTTTATTTCTAGTAACGTGCAGAGCTGTTTGTATTAATATTCATACGCATCTGATGAATTGATATATCATTGACAGCTTCACAAATTAATATATAGCTGTTTGCCGTTTGGTTAGGTATTGAGCTGGTGCATCAGTAATTAGTTCATAGTACATTAGCGGACACAGTGAAATTCGTTAAACAATAAATACATTTTCATGCGTTCCAAAGTTTTAAAACAATACACGGTTCGCTTTAGTGACTGTCATATCCTTTCAGTATCGGTATTAATCCGGGCATTCAAGCTAATTAAGGTGTAACTGTGAAAACGTCTCCAACAAACGCGGTTACAAGTGCTTCAGTCTAATATTATCTGTAATAGTTTACTACCTATTTATTATTGATATACATTTTTATACCTTCCTTATCTGCTGTCACGAATTTGTTATATTAAAACATTGAATATTTCACCATGGATTTCGTAAGCTGTTGTGCATAGTTAAACCTTCGAACCTATCAACTGAATACCTCGAATAGCTGCGAAAACATTAAAATATTACTTTCTTGTACCCCACAAGGCGTATTTCACAGTTGGCATGTATTTTAAAAACAGCCAGGGGTAGTAATTTACAAGGGGAAACGCAAACATCTCACAACAAGGACCTCCGTCATGAGGGATCAACGTCTTTATGTCTGACCCTCGCAAGACACAGTCTCCGACTGTTAAATTAAAACCTCTTTGACCATACTTTCGCCTGCTACATGCAACTTGTTTTTCTGTTGATTTAGTCAATAACAGATGCTGGAACAAGAACTGAGGCACAAAGATATGTAGAAGAGTCATGCCGCACAACTAGCCATTGAATTGAGAAAGCCACTTTAACCGGAAACAAGGTAACAGACAGTAAAAAAAAGACAGACGATGAACTTACAGAAAACGATCCTTGCATCGACAATGCATGATAATATGCTTCATTTACTTGTGCGCAATTAAATTTGTCTTTACATGCCTCTTCCTGTACTTCATTCATTATCTACATGTTGTCCCGGTTTAACACCGTGTTGGCCCAGAAGTGACCACGCCCATTGCTTGGTTCTTTTTTTCACGTGCTCTCCTGTTCTGAAACCAAATCTTTACTCTGTGTTCGGTAACTCTGAGGCTGTTTGACAAGTCACGGACTTCTGAGCCCGAGAGATACTGGGTTTGAAGAAACTTGGCTTCCAAGGAGGCTAGTTGCGTGGACGAAAACGGAATTCGTGGATTTCTGTCGAGTTTATGTTTGCGAGTCCCTTTTCTTGGTTTGGATCCTGAAGAAAGGAATAGATTTTAAAACTTTACATTAAGGAGTACATTAGTGCTTCATGTCAGGGGTACTCAACTAAATTATTTTAAAAAGGCGTTTCCAGGCTGACTGGCAAAGTTTCACTGAGATTAAAAAACAATAACGACATAATGACTAGAGGAAATTATAAAGAAGCAAGATGAAGGAAGATTGGGATAGAGCACAGGCGGCCCAAGCTCATTTCATGAACGCGGACGTGACTCTTGCTTGCGAGCGGTGTTGTGTTACAAACGGTTATTTACAAAGGTTTGTATGGGATGCAAACGGTTTTTCTTAAAAGAGATAAAAAATGTTATGTTTTTAAATAAAATCGACGTACCTTACACCAAAATAGCGCTAACTCGCCGAAAACGCTTCAAAACGGCCTGAGACGCGGGCAAACAACAAAGAATACAACAAGGCAATAAGGTACGTCGATTTTATTTAAAAACATAACATTTTTTATCTCTTTTAAGAAAAACCGTTTGCATCCCATACAAACCTTTGTAAATAACCGTTTGTAACACAACACCGCTCGCAAGCAAGAGTCACGTCCGCGTTCATGAAATGAGCTTGGGCCGCCTGTGGATAGAGTCTGTAGAGATTACTAACTTATCGTGCTTTAACAAGACGAGAACTTTTCTTTTTCCCCTTTAACTGTACGGACAGGTCCCGTCAGTAAGAACGCTGACGGGGTGTCCGTGTTAAGCAGGTTCAATTTAGAGAAAATTTGAGAGCTTTCTTTCTCCAGAGACAAAGCAAGCTAATATACCATTTTTCAGTCCGTGTAGAAGGTTTGTGTTTCAAACAGGGCAGAGTATCGCGAGCTCAAAAATTAAAAACACTCCTTTTTCTAGATTGTTTTGCTTTGATTGTCTCTTTCTTTATTTTTGTCGTGAGGACTAGTTTGTGTGAAACTTGATCGTGCGCTTCAAAGAGATTGTAAAACATCGTAAGAGTTGAACTACCTTTGAATTTTTAGAAGTAATGCTATATTAGATACCCAAATAAAACGCCAAGGTGATTCCTTAATCAGAATAAGCTTCGTATCATGAACTGAGTGAAAGCGTGGTAAACTATATGATAACACGTGTTCTGCGGCTGTACCTCTATTGTGTTTCAGTCTAGTGGGTAGAGGCGGTCCCTGTGTAGGGTTTAGTGCGTCTGGTTTTAATGATCGAACAGATGTAATGAAATTTATAACCTTTTGGGAAAATTGACGGGTAGCGCTGGGTATTGGACTACCAGCAGAGATGGCCAAGTGCAAAATTGTCAGAACGTCTCTATTTCTAATACATTATATATTATAGCAAAACAGGGGCAAACTGCTTAGAACTATTTTTGACCGACACAGTCCTCACTAAAGAAATTCATGTAAACCCACTTTTACCTATTATCATCAACCCTATTTTCATTTTAAAAGAACGATTGATAAGTCTACGTTCTTATGGAACCGGAGATGAAAAAAACATCAACTTCAATGTTTCGTTCATTTTGCATACGTACAAGTTAGCCTCAATGGGGAACTTGGAGCGGGTGAACTTTGGACTGTGGATTAGTTATAAAAGGCGTATAGATGTACAAAAACAGATTTTCAGTATACACCCTTCAGTTGTCACTTTTCCCAACTGAATGGCGAGAGGACTTTGGACAAAATTAGCCTAAACAAAAATTACCTCTTAGACACAGTTTGCCGATAATAAAAAGCAATAAAAAGGATTAAGGGCTTGAGACCATTTCAATAGAGGGTTTTGTTGGAGACAGGAAATCATAAAGGCACTCCTTCAACGAACAGAAAAACAAAAATGAAGTACCGAATCACTTCTGACAAAGGGAGACACTCCTCTTTGCAAAACATCCTAGACAGGTTTTCTTAAACCTTTCACTGCTTGGCTCAAAGCGGTTATTTGCTTCTCCAACTTTTACATCTGTGGACGAAATCCTATGGTGTTATCATTTAAATAAAACCTCTTTAACAGAACTTTTGTATAGTGCTATTCATCGCTAAGGATTTTACAGAAAAAAATTGATTTGTTTTCCCTATAGGAGTGAAAAGGCTACTATGATTTATGTTTTATGGGTTTCGTACATATTGCAGTAAAAAAGGCGATTATAATTGGTGGCTAATTTCACCGCGAATAATCTCGTTAAAATATATTGCATACTTAATACAAATGCGAATTTGACTGTTTGATAATCACAAATCGCGGTTCCCACTTACAAGGTAAGCCAATTTTTGTGCTTTTATAACCAGTTATTGGTAAGTGGGGAACTAGTGTCGTCCACCCCCCAGGTTCATACTAGTATACATTACATCGGTAATTCGTTTGGACGATTCCTAAGACATATTTCTCCGAAAAGAGAACCCGATCTTGTGACATGTACATCTATTTTCTCTGCAATTATATCCCCAACACCAGAAGAACTTAGCTAAAGAAATTCGGGACTTTTTCGGTCGTGCTAGAACAAAAGACCTCGTTATTTTCAAGAAAGTGTTTTCATGGCCACAACAGTCATTTGTAAACTGTTGAACATTTCGCTATCCAACGAACCCGAGTCCTTGACTGAAGGTGCACGCTTTGCTCCATAGAGTGCCCCACAAAACAGTTAAAGAAAAATGTTCAATTTATTTTTCAAAATACTGTAAAACAAATGTTGCCATGCAAAAGTACTGTCAAAAAGGTTTCACTTTAATGGTGACACCAATGGTTTTTGTCTACAGAATCAAGAGTTAGCACTATTTATCAATTCAGCCGAGGAAAAAAAGGTCAACATGCCCTATTTTGTTGTCTTCTGCTAATGAGTTGCGGTTTGTGAAGAAAAAAACCTCTGATGTTAGTCAGTTTTACCTAAACGAAAAAGGAGCTAAACAAACGTATTAGAACTAAGATACATTAAGGGAAACCAAAAAAAATGGATGTAACTAATATGGCCTACTGCAGAAAGCTATCAAAATAATAGGCATGTTTGACAAAGAAAAAGTTTTTTGCTCATGTTTGCAAGTAGATTTGCTGGTACGCGTAAGCGCCTTGAGGGATTACAGAAGCGATTACGCTCAAAGGTTATCGAACCTGAAGGATATGGTGTGTGAATGTATCCACGTGTACAAAAGAGTTTACTGGCAAAAAGCTAGTCATATCTACATACTTTAAACAAACCATGAGTTCTTCGAGTAGGGAACCCCTTTGATTAACTTAAGAGTGCAGGATACGAAGACGCGGATTACATATATAAAAAAAACATTTACTTCCCTTACAGTCTCATAAGTGCATATGTGCACAACAACTGAAAAGAACAAAAGACTGAAAAAATAGAGAAGGAAAAAAGGAAGAAAAATGTTCATCCGCTTGAAAAAATAAAACGGTTACTTACGTGGAATCTTCGGGGGACAGTACCGGGTATAGGCGAGCCAAGGCAGACGCATGAATAACGTTTGCATCGAGGACTTTCCTATATTCTCCATTGTGGGACTTCCATTCTTCTGTGGGGACTCCTTTCGGGTTTTCTTTTGAGACCCAAACGTCTCATTGCTCAATATATTTTCTATTGAGAAGTACAAATACGGTTTGGAAGAAGAGGAAGACTGTGGAGTGGTGTTATCTTCAGATTCTCCTATGCGGTCAGCCATAGATTCTCCGTTCTTGCTACTGCTTGAAGTCGCCCAAATAGAGTACCTGAAGAGGACTGGTCAATACGAGGACAAAGCCGTATAGTGTTTCAGGCTGTTTACTGATGCATTCTTGAGAGGTAGTTTTAATGCGGATTCTATTATGAAGACGTTGATCGCTTCTGTGACGTGTCCTGTCAGATTCACGCGTGTTCTTGACAAATCCCTCTTCTTAGCGAATGAAACACTTGTCATCTCCTTTTTAGTATATCTCTTTAATCCAGGATTACCCTTTAGAAACCATTTATTGTCCAAGTTGAAATTCATCCAAAATAATCTTTTCTCATATCGAACCGTTCTTTAGGACTGGACTTATTATTCCCCTCACCAAATATCAAATTATTATATTCCAAACTTCATTTTGCTGAAGTTTGTTTGTGGATGGCGCGCCGGTATCAAATCTTGTGATTTATTAAGCTTGATGAGAGCATTGTATGTGTGCACTTGAGCCTGTCAATTGTTACATGTAATTATCCTGAATTTTCCTCCTAAAACGAGCAGTATAAGCGGCTCCAACGAGTGTAATGCTTCCCTTTTATATTGAAAAAGATATTTCTTTAACTCCATGACTAGTCTTTTTTCGGAAGATGGCTTTTGGCGTAAATTAGTCAAACATGAACTTTCAAGACGTAAACGGTAATTATAAATCTCTAAGCACCACTCAACATAAATTTCAGTATTGAACGATGTCGTTCATAAGCCACCAATACCTAAACAAGATAATCGATTAAAGTTTTATTCTAAGGCTTTAATTGATAACAACAACTTTGAGATAATTGATTACCCTAATGATGGGAAATTCTGTTTCTGAAGGCTTATCACTAGGATAGGAAATTCGATTTCATCTGTAAAAAGATAATAAATTCATTCTCGGTGATCTGGTCAAACAAATCAAAGTCCGAACAGAAGAGTCCTTGAGCTAAACAAATAAAATTTTCGATTGAAGTTGTGTGTTCGCGAAAGGACGAATGATTCATTGGTTTGAGGTGACAAAAAGATGAAAGAACACGTTGCCTACGTGAGGTTTTTCGCTGTTCTCCTGACAACGGCACAAGCTCTTGTGGTATCTTCACATACGAAAATTTAAAAACTGTCTTCAGTAGCCTTGCTTTGCAAAAACGCCATGTGTTCAGTTGACAGTGCTAAATTGGATGGCGAGTGCTTGGAAACAATAACCTAACTCAAAGTAAGGGAAATCAATATCACTTCAAAGGCAAACTATATTGTGTGTAAATAGTGGATTTACTGATGGTATTAGAAACTGCATGTTTTTAAAAGTGAATCGACAGTTTGCGCACAATTGCAACTACTTCAAAAATATAAATAGCTTAATTAGCTTTATTTCAAACAACATAATTAGCAGAGACCTTAATTTCCTTCACTCAAAAGTGCTAGGATCAATTTCCCGCTTCTAAACTAAGGCAACAGCAATCTAAATTGCAGCTTGAGAAACAAAAAAGGCACTTGATATAAGAATTTAATCAAGTTGCACTATCCATGGTCAGTATTCAGGAATTGTTCCTACGTTTCTCTGTCACTACTTATCCGCATAATTTCGTATTCATACTAGTGTGGAGTTTCAAGCCACATAGTTAAACGATATTAAAGTAATATAGTGCACTTTTGTGTCTTACAAGTGTCTCTTTTGTATTGGACACTCTAGTGATTAAACAGGTCATTTCCGGTTGACAAAAGGTAGAGTAATGCCTTTGGAGCTAGATTTCCTTTAAAAATTGTATAAAACCATAATTACTTTTCGATCATAATTTTGAATTTCTTTAAACTGAAAGAGCCACTTGTTTAGAGCAACGTACTGAGAAATGTTGCCCCCATCAAGAGAACATAATTCCTTTGTACGACAACGAACTAAGCCAAAAATGCCTCTATTAAAAAACTTAATCTTACATAATCCAAATCTGCGTCATTGGGATTTTACTACAAAAACATCCAACTTACAGTACAAGGCAAATTTGAAAAAGGCTAATAGGTTTACGGCGGTAAACATCATTAGATTAACTTCGGCGAGATTTTTTGGCAAAACTTGTCAGAACCACTGATCACGAAGAAATTAAAAATTCTAATGAGGATGGTAAACATTTTCAAGTTCATAGCCAAGACACTGTCTCAAAATTTTGGTATACACAAGTCAATTCACCTTCGACGGTTTCAAGCTAAAAGAGGATCGGAGCCTCCTGTTCATATATTTATCGACACCTGGGCGATAAAGAGATTATTAAATTTTCCGGAATTAGATAATTTAGGCGATTAAAACCGCCATTTTGTGTACTTTTCTGCTATCAGCAGAATATTCGATTTTCATGCAGCGTAACGTAAAGCAAAGTTCGTCCCTTTGCGAATAGTTGTTTAAAAAAAGTTCACACACGAGTTAAATTGGGCTTAAACGTTTCTAAACAGTAATAAAATCGTTCTTTTCAAAAACTGACTTACGCCGTGTTGCAGTTCATTTCAAAAGGATTGAGTCTGTGGGTGAAATTCGTGTTTCACAAAATGAATTTTCAAGTCTTTAATATGTTGTTTTTAGTTTTGAAAGGGGTTAATTCACCTTTCAAAGCCTAGGATCAATTTAAACAGTGTTTTTTGTACATTCCCAGTAGCACTGATAAACAGGTTAATACTACCTTTGCACAAGCGGTCCATTTCCTATATTCGTTTTACCATAACGTTGTATTGTAAGGAGTTAGTTTAGATGGTAACTCTCCGGAGTCAGTAGAACAACACTGTAAACATCCCCGGGGGGTACTCCTATGAATTCTTGGTGGGGGTGTACCGCCCGGTTCTCCAAATCCTGACACTATTTCAGACCAAAAAATGTCATTTTCTACACCCATTTTTAGACCTGGCCTTTAGGTAGAAATTATGTCATCATTACTTGAATTAGAGTACAAACAAAAAATTTTTTCAAATGCTTTTCGAATATTTCTGTTTCCTTCTTATTCATTTGGAATTGAGACGATAAAACGTTCATACGCTTCCGTAGTTCCCTCGAAAACCATGCCCGATTCTAGAACAAAATAGGCAAAGTGTATACCCGTTTTCAGACCAAAACGGCCCAAAAACCACACCCTTGGGGGTGGCACATACCTATAATGGCTTATATAAGGTTGTACCCCCGAAGACATCCAACAATTATTTGAACGGATCTTATTGTAACAGACTGTGAAAACACAACGGTTTCCTGCGGGTCACCCGCAAAAAAAAAAACAATCGTTGAGAGAAACTGACTCAATTCATGTTAGAAAGGCGCGCAAATTGTGACTGAAAATGATATCCGCCAGTGCTTGAAAGTCATCAGTCTCTTCATTGATTAGGGTAAAAAAATAAATACTCAAGAGTTTTCTTACTAAGTTTCTCCCTAAACCATTTCGCAATAGAGCGAGACGTAATACTAAATCTTACATAGTACAATTTCATGACGGAAACATGGATGGTTCACCACTGGTGAACTCCATTGCCTTAAAACCAGAATGACCGGTACCTATAACAATGACCACTTTATGCTTTCTTCCAAATTTGCACCGTTGAAGTAGCCTTAAATATGTCCATGCCTACAATTCTGCTTTCTTCGTTCGCCTTTTTACTTTGTACAAAGGCTCTCAAGCCTTGCTTTCCAACCATGCATGAACTTCCATTTTTTCAGTCATGGATGTGTTTCAGAGCATTGAACACAACAAGGGCAAGAAAACTGTACCCTAAAGTTCTGGACATAACTTAGCTTTCGCCGGATTTCCGATTTCTCGCACTCAAAAATGATGATCTTTATAGGGCAATCTGAAACTGAGATTCGATGGTTCATGAAAAAATATTTTCGTGATTCACCGCTTAGAACTCAAAGGTGGGTCACTGCAATGAAAAGAATAAAAAAATCAAAGAAAGGCCGCGAAGCACTTGAACAAACAATCTTATCTCTTCCATTAAACCCAAAATTATCCAAATTAACGAACGTTTATCACGGTAATAACATGTCATTACTGGTGGATCACTGCCAAAAAAAAATTCTTGTTTCCTTGGTTGTGCCACAAATGATTAGCTAAACATGAAATGTTTTGCTCCAGACGAGTGACTTATTTTCATGTTCTTAAGTTTGAGAGAAAAAAAATAAAAGTACCGGAGTTACTTGCTATTTGTTATGAATCGGTTACCATAACAAAGGCATTGTGCAACCAATCCAGCCTTTGCCTTGAAAGTACACCTTGTGTGATAAGCTTGTCTTGTTTGGAGAAGGAATCAAACACAGACTACTTCCGGACACAAACCTAACACTTGAGTTCAAAAAAAATGGTCAACAGAAACACTCACAAGGAGCCGAGCGTATTGCAATTCGCATTGCGCAAAAAAGAAAAGGGAGAGAGAAATAAACAGCTCCAAAAGAAATAAATGCTTAGCAGCCGCATAATATTGGCGACAGGGTAGATTCTTCCACACAGATTCCAGAATAGGAAAAATGCATATTATCAAAAGGAAGACATGAGAAAAAGAGAAGAGCGGTTCAGTGGTTTCCACTAGATAAGTGATACGGTTGGTTTTCACTCAAAGATTGTCAGCGCTTTGACACCATGATAAGGACGGCATTACGTTGCCACCCAGTATCTCTACCCCATTAAGTCTGAAGAGTGACCAACATCAATTTTCTCCTCAGTGTGTCAATACATAATCAAGAGACAAGGTCATGAGAATTAATTTAAGATCTAAAACTGTTCTAGTGAGGCCTTAAACTGCTGTTTAAAAAAGACAAATCTAAAATCCAAGCTTTCGCCGATCATCGGCATCATCATCATCTTCAGACCTTTCCATCGTAATTTAAGATCGGTCAGTATAAAAAAAATGGACTGCGGACTGCGGACTGGGTATAAAACAAGGACTAGGTACAAATTCCGGACTAGAAACTAATTCTTAAAGAAAGTGTATTAAGATCAGTCTGGAGAGTTTGTATGTGGATTTTGGGGTTTAAAGGGTTAAACTGAATGGTTACATATATGGAAAATCGATTTTGCAAATGGCACCCTCCGCTTTCACCCTCACTTCAGACCTTTCCTTTGAGCGCTCGTGCGAGCTTTCTTAACCTAGACAAAAATACGGGCTGTTTTGCAGTCTTCAAACTGCGGAGACAGAACCTCTAGTATAGCAGACGACCTCTGGTACAGCCTGGTTTTCATTTCAATAGGTTACACTCAAGGATTTCACCAAAGGTAGGGAAAGTTACAGCCACCTTGTAAAGCATGATTGACAGCACCTCAGTACTCTTTATTCGAATGATATCATTGACCCAGACTTGAAAGATAAATTCACTTTATACCCCACAGCACCAGCCGACATAATCAACCTGTATCACAAAGGTTCCCTGTTGTCCCTACCTACCATAATCCAAGTCTTTATCAGCTAGGGGAAAGTACACTTGAAACCCCTCCATTCAATTGTTCATCAGCGAACCAAAGAGTTTATCTAAAGAAAAAATCTTAAAATAAAACCATATTACGTGGACGGAGCATTCGAAGCGAAAAGGAAGTGCACTCTGTAAAATACATACGTGTACTGCAGTTGTAGCCACTGTAGAAAGTAGCATAAAATAACGAAAACACAAGCTTTACTGTTTAACTCAAACATTCATTAATTTCTATTTAGTAAAGGCTATTGCTGTTGTGTCATTGTTTTTTGTTGTTGTTGCAATATGGACCTAACAGACTAGAGAAAGACGCGTTTTCGATTGTGAACTAATCACGACCTCCTGCATTCACTAAACAAACAACGTTTGTAACTGTCAGATATATATCACTCAGGACATGCTCAACCGAACATGTGGCATCAAAAAAAACTCAAAACATACAGCGGGTTTCAAACGACGCTAAGCCCCCGACCATTAACAACCCGGACTGGAAGTTTACTTTGGGTTTACTCAGACAAAGAAAGCTACTATCATGTCATAATTTAACATGTCTGTTTTGACATAGAGGGGCAGACAGAGAGCGTTATTTTTCTTTAGGTGCGAAGGCTTGTAGTTCTATACCTCCTCGGAGAGTGTGGGAAAACAAAAGAGCTTCTTTTAATACAGAGCTAAATGTAATTCACAGACCACACGCAAGACGTTGACTGTCAATTTAACCTCTATACCACCTAGGTTTCACTTAACTGAAAATATTCATTCTTGACGGATAATTTGAAAAATTTTACCATGTACTCCTTAGTAAACTTAGCCACTAACATAACGACGCAAAAACAGCCGCGAAACATGTTTAGCTGAGGAGTGGTGATTAACTAAGCCATGTGACAACATCAAATATCTTCGATTCAGAAGGTTAATGAACATGTAGAATATCGTCAGTTGTAACAACAACACAGATTAAGCGCCCTTGTTGAGCTAGTGATCACTCCCTCATTATAACACCTAAGAATCCGTACATTCACACCGACCATAAACGTCAAAGTTTACACATCTGCTGCGAAAATTGCTGTGTGAAGTGTAATAATTCTGCAACGCAAAATAGTTCAGAGGAAAGCTTGTACCCAGCGAGAGTAAAGGAATACAATAGGGCGTGTTATGCGAGTAGTCAAATTGGTGCTGTTGTGCTGAGCACTCTTCCGACTTGGCTCTCACTGGAGTGTCCTCTTGGTTTCTCTTCTCTCTTGCACGGCGATTTTGAAACCATATCTTTATACGGTGATGTGGAAGTTTCAAGCTGGCTCCCAGCTCAGCAACCTGTGGTCCAGAGAGGTAGCGATTTTCTGTGTATGTTTGTTCCAAAGTTATCAGCTGGGCAGAGGAAAAAGGCACTCTGGGGCTGCCACTTGATCGACGCTTACAGTTCTTTGCCTTTCTTTTCGACCCTAAGTAATTCAGAAAATTAGGGCCTTTTATATTACGGGGTATATCATACATGGCGTTTAGACTTGAAAGTAAAAGTTATGTGTTACTTACTACAATCGAACCCTACTGACCGTAACTTTTCCAGGGGCAATTTTTTCTTATCGAGGCGGGTACAGTCACAGTTGTTTTAACACTTTCACTCCCACAGTAAATGCTGGAATCTTGTAACGTGTTTCTAACTTTTGAGTCTGTCGACGAAATCCTGAGGTGTAACATTTCAAATAAAATCTCTCTGGCAGTAATATCGCATGGTGCTATTTGTTTTTCAGCATTTACATCATAAAATTTGCAGTTTTTTGTTGAAATTTGACTTTTCCACTTTTGAGAGTGAAAGGATTAACCTCCCTAAAAAAGACCACTTATTTTCTTCCCCAAAGCTGTTGTCATGGAGAACTTCCTCTCTAGTGTTTAGTCCATTCGGAAAGTCATGCTACAAAATACTAAACCTAGACCAACTTATGGCAGGATCGCTACTCCTTAAAATCTGTCATCGAAAGCTTATGGTGTTACCGTTCAAAGGAAACCTCTTTAGCAGAACTGTTCTATAGTACGAATTATTTCTTATGAAATTTTAAAAACATGTGGATTTTTTGTCATTGGCCGCTCTTGGGGAGTAGAAGGGTTAAATTGCTTCTAGTGGATAAGTGATGTTAAATTCATTAAAATAGATTACTGGAACATTAAAAACATGACTGCTTTATAGATAATAATTATCGAATAAATTTATGATTATCACCTCACAAGTTCTTTTTAAAGGTAGGAACGAAAGAAAATTAGTTAAAAACGACTACTGAGGTTAGCTGTCCACGTAAGCGTTTTTAGAGAGGGACGACCTTCAGCTAAAGGTAGTCGCAAGATTCTCTTCGGGAAACGCCGACTCTACGCTACCTGCTATCTGCACCCAGGCAAAATATGTGAAAGTAAAATCATGGCTCTCAGTCAAACAGTAAACCGCACAACGTTAAACTTCAATTGGGCGATGTCGAAGTTTGTGTTCAGTCTAAGTGCAAACATCTAGTAATTCATATCTAACTTTCAAAATAGCAGTGAGTGAATTATACTTACTTGGAAGTTTAGGGGGTGAGTAACGTGTATAAGACAACCAGGGCAACTGGGCAATGCTTTTACAGCCTTCGGTGACTACCGGAGCTGATTCACAAGACCTACGCTCTTCTTCATTTGCCTCTGTTCGAACATGCTGCGCTGGAAGGAGCGCGGGTTCATCATTTCTTCCCAAAATACTATCAATCGAAAAGGCAAGGCGAGGTTTACTACCGGTTAAACTTCGCTGTTCAAAACTCTTGGCCCACTCGGTCATGTCTTGTTCCGCCACTGCTTACTTTCACTGTGCGGCTGTTCCGGCAATTGTTTATCGTGTGGCATAGTTTTCAGTAAATTGATTTGAGAACAGTGAATTTTATTTAGTTCAAGTGTATTTACACATAATACATATTCTTGTCAGCTTTTATTAGCACCAGATGACTACACGGATTACATAAGCTGATTCTAATTCGTTCTGATGGGCACAAAACAAAGCCCCAAAGGCAACTGCTGGTGCGGAGGATCTAAACACTAATGTGGTGATTCGTGATAACCCACATCTGATCATTCGTTTCAGTTATGTGAGTTTTAGAGCCTACAAGGAGTTTTGCGTTCCCATCTGTGTTTGATTAGTCGGCGCTCTTTCAGATAGGGTTCAATTTTCCTTTCAAGCTTTGCTTACATTTACACACGTCCATTAAACCGTCTCAGGCGGACTTCTATTGTAACTATTCAGCGCAATTGCTTTTCTTCACACGTTTTAAAGCTCATCACGCAGTCGAATCATACAGAGTTCTGTTAGCGTCAGGCTTTCATGAATACTCAAAAGATGATTTTCTTGACAAAGTTTACGTTACTTTGTGTTGGGAACGGCACTTAAAATAGCATGCCAAAAAGTTTTCTTTTGTTCTGTCAAAATCGGTCCGTGAGAGCAAGAACGTGAGTTGTTTGCAAAGAGCTTGATTGGTTTCGGACGTTTCCATTAAGCTGTCATCGCAAGTAAGTAAGCATTACACTCCAAGATTTTAGCTTATCAATTATTAATAACCCTTAAAAATCAAGAGGGTCTATCTCGGAAATCTTAACATTGAAGTGCTGCTTGTTCGCTAAATGCACTCGAGTGACTAATATTTCAATATCACTTGCACGATAACATTAATGACAGGTAACACGTCACTTCGAGTGCTCTCCACTGCACTAGCATCTGGTTGGAGCAGTTCCTTCACAAAAGATGCGATAATGGGCAGGGTATTGATGGTGCGTTTAAGCAAACAACTTCACAGTGAATTTAATTTCTATTGAAAGAGTTTGAATAGCAATTGACTCGACAATGGTCATCTCTCAGATACGCGTCAAAGCGGTTATTAACTAACATTTGATAAAAGACGTTCGTCTTACTTAATTTTTTAAAAACATCAGGTGATAGGAACATTTTGGGTTGTTCTACAATGCTATTGGCAAGTCTGGGTGGGTGGTCAATTCATACCAACTACAGGAGATTATTTTAGCACTCAATTAACCCTTTCAGTTGTGGAGCGGTGCATGAGGTTTTATGTCAATGTAACCTTTGAGACTGTGGATCAAACCCTATTTACACGAGACCACTGAAATAGCACCTCTTTGGCAGTACATTCACCGGGGGGGGGGTACTTTAGGAATTTCTGGGTGGGGATGTGCCGCTGAGACCCTGAACCCTTAACCCATACCAGAGCTAGTTCAGCTAACTTTTGCTACCCTGTACTAGAGTAACCTCCCCAAATCCCCCCTATCCTAGAGCAGCTCTTTCCCTGTTCTAGATAAAATCTTCAACCAACTGATCAGTTTCTAGACTACGAGCAGTCTCTCTTTCTTCTGTAGTCCGTCGAGCAAAACGCGAGACACGCAAATGGTCACGCGCGTGACTGCTTGCAGTCTAATCAGTTTCCTGAAAAATGATACCTATTCTAGACCCAAATGTTCTGATTTATATTCCCTATCCTAGAGTAAACTGCTTGAAAACCATACCCTTCACAGCGGCACATACTTATATATCCCATATAGGACTGTATAAGACTCCAAATAAAGCATTGTCTTGTCTATATGGCAGTACCCCCCCCCCCCGGGACATTCACTTGGTGCTATTTGCTTTGTTTGTAGTTCTGACTTTTGAGCTCGTGGACCAAACCCTATGACGTAACCATTCAAATGAACCACTTTGGCAGCACTCTTGCATGCTCACTTTAAAAACAGCTAGGACTGAAACTACCTTTTAAAAAGGCAAAGATATTCTTGGTTAAAGAAAGGATTACAAGTCCAAAGATAGTGACACATACGAGACCTTTTGATTATAGGCACTCTTAAAAATGAAGTGAATATCAGTGGAAGTTTCAAAAGATAGTTACTCAATCAAAGGACGGCTTTTTAGCAGCGTTGACACGTGCTGAAAATGATTCCATTTTATTGAAAATACTCCCTGAGAATATAGTCACTCATCGATATTTCACTCTTTCTTTCTCTTCCCCTTCCCCATTACAGCGGTTACAAATTTGTACTCACAGAGGATATTGTCAGTAGAGGATTGTCTCAAGTGAAAAGACAAAGTTAACGTTGGATTAGGGGAGGGGAGGGTGGTTAGGTGGGCAGTTAACCGGAATCTTATACGATCAAACCCCGTTAATACGGACACTGAGGGGCCATTAACAGTGTCCGTATTAAGAGGGTTGAATTGAGAGAAAACGTAAGGGCTTTCTTTCCCCAGGGACAGGGACACAGGGGCGGATCCAGGATTTTCTTTAGGAGGGGGTGCACTCGTCTCTTGCTCTACTTCAACACCAATAATAGTTTTTTGTTTTTTTTTGCAGAATACCAGTTGTATGAGAAAACCGCAGGTCATCTCAGGGGGGAGGGGTGCGCACCCCCTGCACCCTCCCCCTAGATCCGCCCCTGGGGACGGGGACAGGGACAAGAGGTGTCCGTAAAGAAGGCTTTGACTGTTATATGCCTCTCCGATACTGTCATATTTCTATATGTCCCACTTGCATTTTTTAGTTTCACAACATTCCATTAAGACTCCATTCGTGGAGCAAGACGCAAGCGAAAGGCACAAACACACTAACGACACCGAACAAACACGTGATCTCACAAGCGAGTTATAAACTCCTGGAAGCAGGTACAATCTTACTCCAGGTTTAGTGAAAGGTTTTTGCATTATGTCGATTGCATCGCGCATCTCCACTTATTCTTAGAAAGTTACGATAACGTCCAGAACAGTCTAGGTTGTTGTCGTTATCAGTTATGTGTTATTATTGTCATCTTTCAAGGATCTTCTTCGAGGTCCCAGATAACAACGTCCATCAATATCACTTTCAAGATATATATCAGGAACATTTTCCGCAATCCTTAAATGTTCCTTGAGTTCGGATTTACGTTCATTATCGAATTCGTTCTTCTGCTCGCTAGCTTGTTTCGAGTGTTTCTCTTGAGAAGTTTTCAAATTTACCGACGCGAGCTTAGCTGCTAAAATCAATCGCTGTATCAACCTTTCCCCAGATTGTATATCACCACTTGATTTATTCTTTCTTCTACCACCACTGGGAGATCTATTTTGAATAGCCACCTGTTGCCTAATTCTGCAGAGCTCTTCCCCTTGTCTAAGAACTTGTGCCCTCAAATATAAGCACTGGAAATATAAACCAGAAGTTGAAACGGACTATTAGGGAGCTTAAGCAACGAAGACGGCGACGGCAACGAGAAAGGCAAAAAAAAGCATTTGGTTCATATTAAACACAATTGAAAATTCTAAAACCGTCATCCTAAAAAAGGTTACCATCGCTTGCGAGAGGTGGTCGTTTACTATGAGACTTTGACAGAGAAATATTGGTGTTTTGGATAAGTGGTCGCTTAAGGGAGGTGATCGGATCTAGATTCGACTGTCTTGTCTAAGGGTCCGAGCAAATAACCATACCAAGGTTAAGAATCCCAACTGGCCGGAGGCAAATCAGTTGGTAATTTACAAGCGTGATCGAGGATTTGAACTCGGGACCACCAAGAACAAAACCAGCTAGAGGCCAAGGCGGGGCTTGAGCTCAGGGCCGCCGGATTTCAAGTCCAACGCCCTGACCACTCGGTCACGCTACCTCCTCGGAAATCAAAGATAATTCTTCTGTACTACATAAGGACTGGGTTTAAGTTTTTCTTTTACAGTGGAAAGTGCACTTAGCTTGTCCAGCTAGTTTACAGGCACTCCACTCAAATACGTAGAGGAAACAAATAATCCAAACCGGATTAAAAACCTCAACTGGCAGGGGGCAACTAGTTTGCTAGTTATCAGCGTGTCCGAGGATTTGAACTCGGCACGACCGAAAACAAATCCAGAAAGGGGCAAGAGCTGGACTCGAACCCGGGACAACCAGATTGCGCGTCCGACGCACTGACCACTCGGCCACGCTGCCTCCTTTTAAAAGGAGGGCCAGTGATGACTCTAAATTTGAAGTATTTGAGAACTCCTGTGAATCGATTAAAGAGCAGGTATAAGCAATAGTAGCCTACGTGTAGGCGTCCCCTCCCCCCGAGGACAAATAAAAAATGGAGAGAGGGAGGGTGCGGTTACACGTAGGCTATAGCTATAGAACACTCCAAACCAATGAGATATATTATATGAGGAAACGAGTAATGTAATGGCGGTATATTGAAGGAACGCATCTTACCTCTTGTTTGTTTTCTTTTAGTTCCTCCAGGAGCTTTTTGATGGCGTTTATTTCCCTTGCTGTGAAAAAAAAAAGAAAAACGCGCTCTTAGAAGGACACTTGGTGGGTCTACTACCAAGTGTCGGTCTAAGAGAAGAACCCGCCTTGTAGAGTCAAAGGAAAAGGACTCTGATAACTGGAGGGACGAATTAAGGATGTTCAGTTTAAGGAGTTCTCGATGTTAATGAGATTTCCGTTTAAAGGGAGTTAATTTGTAGCTATGATTATATAATATACTCAGCACAGAAAATAACAAACCTACCTCATGGAAATGCAGAAAGTTAACAAAGAAAAGCAGAAACTGTACGCTGCATATGAATGAGAATTCTCTTTCAGGCTTCCAATTTAGTATCTAACATAAAACAAGCAGCAGAAGCAGCAGCTTACCAAAATTAAATTCCAGATCATGAAGTTTTTCCTTATTTGCTTCACCAGGCCCGGGGACTGAAAGACTGCTTTCTGCTCTTGTTCTCTGTAATCTAACAGAAAACAGTAAACAATGATACGCAGCTGACTAAGCAATGTTTTCTATATGGCAGCTTCCAATCAAAACGAAGTGAACGCAAATCAATAAATGTTGCCCATTTTGGTCAAGTGTTTCATCAATAACCATCGTTTTGATCTTAAAACAGTCTAATCTCAGTTGGAACACTTGCAATTAAAAAGAATTTTCGAATTACAAAGTAGAAAATCTGCGTTTTGAAACCTTGACAAAACACTCACACTAGTACCTCACGTTCTACACTTAAAGTTCTCAGTACATTTATCCTTCATCTTAAATTCACCGGGTTTTTTTTGTGCGGTTCACTTTGTCTGACTTGTATAAACCACTTGGCCTTACCTTATACGAATCAATATCAACTCAAAACTCTAATTACCTATCACGCCCTTGACTTTCGAGAACCTTTTTGGCGTCAGGATACTCCTCTAAAGCCTACAATAATAAGCAAATCGTGTCCACCTATTAACACTGTTAAGTGGAGAGTGACGTTTAATTCTTAAAATTTTGTATTTGTCAAATAACGTTGTATTGGTTTAGTAAACGACACTAGGCTGATAGCTTAAATTGCACCCATTAACAATCAACCTAAATTTAAAATAATAGACACAAATTGGCTTCAAGTTCGCGGATATATTCCCAGATCGTAAAACGCAATAGTTTCTTATGCCTCGTCATTTACTACGTTAAAAGTCAGCATAGGGTCGAAATAGTTTATTGGTAAATTAGTGAATATCAACGCCTAAGAACAGTACCTCCATCAAGTCCTTTTGAGACAGACATAACAGTTCCGAGTATCCTACGGACCGAACATCAGCAGAACGCCTGTAAAGAAAACATAGAATAGTCAGATTGGCCTATTAACTTTAAGGTCCCAGTGGTGACCAACAACAATTTTCTCCTAACGATATCCATACATTGTCAAGAGATAAAGTTATAAGTATTAACAAAATGATCACCAAAGAGAAAATGCCTGGATCTGTAATCAAATTCTCTCATTTAATTCTTTAAGGAAATGTATAGATATAAGCTTGGAGAATTTGTATGTGGATATTGGGGCTTGAAGGGTTAAAGGAGCTGTGTCACGAAATTTATCCAAATTCAAACAGAGGAAACTGACACCAAATTGAGCGCAACATTAAAATATTAAAGCACTCAAAAAGTCAGAGTAAGGTAAAAGTGACACAACACAAAAGGAGGCACAGATGGGCAAACTGGAAGAAGACTGAAAGATGATTGATGCAGATGATATCAATCTTAGGACGTGGAATGCATGTTTACCTGTTTTTTCCCTCATCGAGTCGCAGCAAACTGATTTCTCCGAAATAATTTCCCTCCGTTAGAGATGCTACGACAACTTCCTCATTGGTAGAAGAGTCTGTTATAACTACCTAAAGTTGAAAGAAAAGGGGAGTCTAAAAAGATTGGAAAGACTTCAAGTATTCATATAAATTAGTTGTTTCTCGTAAACGGGAGCTCCACTTTGGGCTTGTCTCATTAAGTATAAATCATTATGTGATTAAAACACAAATTGATTGAATGATTAAGTGACCAGTTGACCGCTTGATTGATTGACTGTCCAAGTGATTGATTAGGTGATTGATTGACAACAGGTAAGTAGATACCGGCCAGCAACATGGACTGACTGAAAGGTCAAATGCTCAACTTTGGCCTCAAAGGTTATCACAACAGAAATTCACAATCAATTTCCACAAAAAAACCGTTTTTAAATTGTTGTAATTTGTTTACCCACGGAGCACTTAGGACTTCATGAGAACTCACTAAAAGCTGTCCGCTTTCCAAATCGAACTGGAAATTGGATGTGTTGGTTTTTAAGGAGAGCAGAAAATAAGAGTACCCGGAGAAAAACCTTTCGGAGCAAGGGAGAGAACTAACAACAAACTCAACCCACATATGGCGTCGACACCGGGATTTCAACCCGGGCCACATTGGTGGGAGGCGAGTGCTCTCACCACTGGGCTACCATTTCTCCGCCTAACTCCGTTTAGGGAGTTGTTTCATGTCTCTTTGGTAAGATTAAGACACTGAAAGAATTGCTGAAGACAATCATTTTCTCACCTCGACTCTTCCATTGTTGATAATGTACATCTCTCGCCCTTTAAAGAAAAACCATCAATTCACAAGATTATGAGAATCCACCAAGAAACAAGAATATTACTTTACAGTCTTGATTAGTGAAATGGTATGGAAAAGATACCTCAACTCAGCTTCATATTAAAGGGTAATCATCTTACAGAGTTAAGAATTAAGGGGAATTTCATATACCATCGAAAGAGTCGACAAACTCCAAATATGGCTTTGTATTAGGGACCAGGTGTGCAACGCACTTGTCAGTAAATCTGGGCAGTAAAAATTAACAAATGACTGTCTTCTTACCTATTTCACCAGAACGACAGATATAGTCCCCGGGTGAAAATATCTGGGGTCGAAGTTTAAGAACCAATTCACACAAGAGACCCTGTTCACAGTCTTTAAAGATTTTTACCTGTATAAAACAAGCAAACAAATTCAAGAGTTTTGAGAAGAGTCTTGGTTCAAGTTGTACCAAAGGTGGATCGTGATTTAACCGTTGAACAACGCTATCCGACGTTTGAACAAACGGGGCCACGTTGGGCTACAAGATGTTTTGAGAGTAAGCGCTGGCTAAGTGGCACTTGTTCCCAAATGTCATACTTGCGCTCTCCCTGATCTTCAATGCTGAAATTCCCCATTAAAGAATAAACTACTGCTACCCATAAAACAAAGTTAAAGGTACTTGCCCATACCTTTCTTAAAGTATCCAAATGTACATGGATAGCTATTTCAGTTCTCAGTCTATCAGGAAGCATTTCTAAGGACGAAGACTCGTCGAGGGCTTGTGTTCTGCACATTAGACAATTGCAACAGCGTTTTGTCGTTAAATCATGATTGTCCCACAACATTAATTCTAACATAGTATTCAAGTTAGTATAGTCTTCGTAACAGTATTCATTTTAAGACTGATTGATGGCATAATGATCAAGAACGTAAACATCCAGCCTAGGTGGATGTGATTGTCTTTGTCAGAAGTACTTTGACTCACGCCCCTCTGCTCCGTTGTCATATTAACAAGGATAATAAGGGGGCTAAAGATCGTATTTAAAAGTTGCAATGACAGTTTTAAAATAGGAGAGGGATAAGATTCTCTAGTATTATTATTTTTTTTCCTCATGGTACTACACCGTAATTTTTAGGGAGTTATTATAACTCCAAAAATGGAGTAAAAATTTTAGGTACAGGATAACCCCTTTTTGGGGGTTATTTTAACTCCTGATTTAACTCCGAATTTGGGGTCGTTTTTACTCCTGAAAAAGAGTTCTTTTTACTCCCAGTCTTGGAGTTAAAATTACTCCGAAATGGGGTTACTTGTACTCCTTACAGGGGTTGTTTTTACTCTTTTTGGAGTTAATTTAACTCTGAAAGTGGAGCAAAAATTTTAGGTACAGGATAACTCCTTTTTTGGGGTTATTTTAACTCCTCAATATCTGGGGTCACTTTTACTCCTGAAAAAGAGTTCTTTAAACTCCTTTTTGGAGTTAAAATAACTCCACGAAAAATAACTCCACTGTAAGGAGTTAAATTAGCCCCACTAGAGGAGTTATTATAACTCCCTGAAAATTACAGTGTATACTTTATGTTCATACACATCAATTTGCCATGCATCTGGCGCACTGATGCAAGACGAGTGTTGTTTGTTCGGCAAAAGTACCTCCATTGCCATACTTACAAGGATACTAAGGGTGTGTTCGAACGATCGTATTCCGGAATAAGAATGCGCAAAAATTTGTCACGAATCTTTTCGATCGCAAATTTTTGGTCCTTTGAAGTGCAACATTCTTCTAATCCATATATTTCCACACAACAAATGGATTTTTGAGTTTATTCCACGTATTCTAATTCCGGAATAGAACGTCAATAGAACGCGCCCTAAATATCGTCTTCAGTATAGTTTAAAGCTTTAAAAGAAAAAGAGGGATGAGGTTTTCTAGTATTCACTTTCTTCCCTTTGAGGCGTTGAGGCGTATTGAAACAAGAAGAGTGTTGCTTGTTCGAAAAAAGTGCCTTTACCACTTTACCAACTAGTTACAGCAACAGTGTGTCGCACTGATTACACACCTGCTCCAGGCATAGTGAGCCCATCTTTTAACTCGAGTTTGTAGCGTCTGTGGAACATTATGGTGCTCCATGAATTGCTTGATTGAGTCCATTCTGACGTAAAATTACACAACATTCAATTGCCTGTTAAACACATACAGTGGTAACTGTAGAGGAATACTAGAGCATCACGCATGGACAGAACTGGCAATGACTGCTGGTGCTTGAGTAGCATGACTAAGATACTACCTATTCCGTGGAGTTGGTGTAGTGAACCTCTTATAGTTTTTAGGTTTCATGTGACTGATAGCCTAGTGATAGCATCTATTACGTTGACCGTGGAAGTCGTGTCTTCCCTAGCGAATAAACATTTCCGCCAATCCCACTTAAGCTACTCCAAGGCTGAGAATATTTAAAACAGCAATACAAAAAGGAAAACGATAGAAGGTAAGACACAAGTTGATACCTGGCCTGAAAATTTGTCCTTGGAGCATTCATATTGCTGATGACGTCTCCAACGTTGCCAACGACAGTTGCAAATACAAAGATTCCAAGAAGAAACATGAATCCAGTGAAAATATATTCCTACAAACAACATTGGTGCAACCGTCAATAAAAAACAGTACTCATGAAAACTTCGTAGCAGGAGACTGGTGCAATGAGGCCACCGTAAAAAGTCTAAAGCTGAGTTTCCGAACACTGGCCATAACAGAACGAATCACTTACAATGTTTGTTTGAGGACTTGGAGTTTCACCGATCGTCATAAGAGTTAGAACCGACCAGTAAAAGGACTTAACGTATTTCCTGAAAAACAAAAGGGAAAGTCGTTATTTCTAGCGACACTGTCACTAAGAATCTGGATCTTTAGTTATGTAGCCGTGCGTATCTATCAAACAATGAAAATGTCTAATCTCCTCTTACAGTTTGTAGGAGAGTCCAAACGTTTTGTCATTTTATCTTAAAGAAGAACGATATACAACATACCCTAAAGTGTTTTATTTTAGGTGTAAATGTTGTGATTCAACTTTACCCTTGGTTCAAATTTCATTTTCCTTTTGTACTCACAAGTTAAACGATATAACAAAAACGCAGTTTTAAGATTTTCTTTTAGAAAGTAATTGACGTGTGCAGAATTAAGAAACAACTACGCGCTTGATAATTGTAGATTATTATAACTTGTTTTCATGCTGGAATTATTGGTCCAGACAATGACTAGTTCAGAAACAGACTTACGTAAATCATTTGCACTGTATTTTAAGACAAACGTTCGTAAAGGAGTCTGCAAAGTAGGCACTACCAGCCACACGTTTCTCCTGAACGTTACTCGTAGGTTTTCAATAATAAAATTGGCCCGATGATATTGGGAGGAATAATGATTTTATATTTTACAAGAAACCTGAAATCGAACCTGGTAAATGAGTCGCCTCCTTTCTCAGTTTCGCAGTACACCCACTCATTTGAGCCCAGCCCTTCGTATTCAGAGAGGGTATAGTACAGACAAGCGACCCAATGCATTGCTACACTCAGATAGAGAATGAGTTTAAAGGCACGCAAACGGTTAGGCTTGCTTGTTCGGTAGTCACTCATCAAGAAGAAAGTTTCCACAGAGTGCCACTTCAAAAGTCTGGGAAGACGTAAGAACTTAGCATCACAGGGAACTAGAAGAAAAGCAAAACAGTAAGGTGTTTTGATAAGTAAATTTATAATAGCAGTGAAACCGGCGATAAGCAGGTCTGTTTTGAATGAATTGCAGAGCGCTGTGTAATAGCAACCTAAATTTAACTTATCGGTGATCGTTAGAATACTATTCAAACCGGGCAAATGTTCGGTATTATAGGAGAGAATTTCACCTCGCCCATTGATTCGAAAAAATTATCTAGAATGAGACATCCGTCCCACTGTTTGAAAAAACTTAAAACATTTGCTAAATGAAAAGGGTCACTATTTCAAAAATTTGGGAAAATGTTAGAGACTGTATTTAACAAAGACCTTGGCTGCGCCTCGTGTTTTCAAACCATCCACGGCTTTGTTATTTCAGTATGGGCTCTATTGTCTCTTGCTTGTCATAGAGCAAAGTATATTCAAAATATACGTGGAACTCAGAATGTCACGAAGGCTTCACTCAATTACATCAAAGCACAAATTTGTGTCAATCACAGATTTTACCAGTAATATATGTAGTGTTTATCCAAAATCTAGACACAGAAATAAGGAACTGTCTTAAAATACTTACAAAATAGTAAGGAAGATAGTGATTCTAGAGGCAGAAGACAAATGATGTCAGCTTTAAATCCTCTCTTTTTGTAGTATTTCTCCCTCAATTTTTCAGGGTCTTTCACCTTAAAAAAAAGATAAATAAATAAAAACGTACCGATATTTAGAACAATTATCCACACTAACATTTTCGTTCTGCTTGGGTCCCCTTCTTGAAACCTTCGCTTTCTTAGAAATGCATTTCCGATCAAAAAACTTTAAGGAACCTTTTTGGTTCAAACCACAGCCCTATGATCCCCGTAAATAATTGAGGATGATTGACAAACTGGAACAACTAACTCTACCTGGGACCTGATACCGTAAAATTCCGAAAATAAGTCCCGGGGCTTGTATTTTTCAAAGGCCCTTTTTGAGGGGCTTATATTCGGAGGGGCTTATCTATGGAGGGTATTTGCGTTGCAAAATCGATTGGGCTAGCCTTATAGGTGGAAGAAAATTTACCGTTTTAGCTTTGTTTTACTTTGTATTTGAGGGCAATTTTCCAAGAACAAGCCCCCGGGGGGCTTATATTTGGAGGGGCGATTCAACGGAGGGTTATCTGCGTTACCGGTTTGGGGGGCTTATATTTGGAGGGGCTTATACATGCAGGGGCTTATTTTCGGAATTTTTACGGTGAGAAAAAAGAGTATCGTTACTCTACATACCATAATGCCGTGGTCATCTCTGTAAGCAGTTCGTAGTTGCGCACATATATCGCAGGCATACAGGCCATCTGCAAACAGATCTCCCCACCAGAAGATAACCCTAGAGAAAGACTTAAAAAGGAGAAAAACGAGGGTTAATTTATTGATTAAACAAAACAGTTCAAATTTGTCATCTTTAGCACCAAACTGAAGGCATTTTCGACGTTGCTGTTCTTAACAGTATGCATAGTACATGTGCCATGTATCGCCCTGTATCCTTGGCAAAATAGCCTACAAACTTAAACGAAATTGCTGGAGAGCTGTAAAAACGGGTGGTGTTTTGAGATTTGGCAGCAACTTTGCTGGTTTTTCAAGGAAAACTGTGTAGTGTCAGGTCCTGTAAATATCAATGACTTGGACTGTGACACGCCACAAGTCTCCCTCTGGATCAACTGCCCTGACTGTCTAGCGATACCGTAAAATTCCGAAAATGAGCCCCTCCATGTATAAGCCCCTCAAACCGGTAACTCAAAAAACCCTCCAAATCGCCCCTCCAAACATAAGCCCCCGGGGGCTTGTACTTGGCAAATTGCCCTCAAATACAAAGAAAAACAAAGCAAAAACGGTAAATTTACTTTCAACTATAAGGGTAGCCCAATTGATTTTGAAAAGCAAATTTCCCTCCGTAGATAAGCCCCTCCGAATATAAGTCCCTCCAAAAATAAGCCCCGGGGCTTATTTTCGGAATTTTACGGTACTCCTATGGTCAAAGCCTCAAGTCATGTAAAAGACTTATTGTTTCCTTTTCTTCACCCCATACTCAAGACAAGGTGAAAACGGCTTTATATACTTGCACTCTATATCACCTATTCTATATCTACATTATTTAGTTGCACACTATATAACCTACCTCATCTGAAGTTTCTGTAAAAGCGATTCCAAGGATGACAGTCCAAAAGTTATATATAACTATGGCAGCTACCATACCCTAAAAAACAAAGACAGTGTTTAATACACACCGTAGCATTAAATTAAATTAGAAGATCAAACCAAAAATATATACCATCCATAAGTAGTAGGCATCATCCTCTGGGTCAAGTACAAGTCTCTCAGAGCTTAGAAACTGAAAGAAAACATTTCCGGGAAAAATGACTGTAGCGATTTTGTCCAAGTTATAAAACAATAGGCAGTCATTCAAGTGTTGTTTACTCTGACCAATCATAAACAATGCAGAAACTAGGCGAACAAATCAGAAATTAGGGCATCCCCACTGTGCGCGGGAAATCGCCTTCCGATTTAGTAGAGAATGATAGCAGATATTGCAAAGACTTAACTGACGTCTAAAACTTTAAATTTCGGTGTCCACGACTAATATAACGTAAGAAATAAGAAACAAATAAAACCTCACTTTCTCCGCTTAGGTTGAAGGGGTTAAAAAGGGCTTCTCTCCTTGAGTTATTTTCTTACACACACTCTCTTTTTCTTGTATAAGCAAACCTGCACTGGTTTCGTTTCACAGCTGGACATTTTCTTTGTGACGCAACAAAGGAAAAACGTGGCGCGCGCAACAAGCAACCAATCAACACCGTTAGCAGTCACGTGTACACGTTTGAATTTGCGCGCGCTCTTTACGTTGGCAAAATTGCGTCACGGCCTTCTCACTAACCAAGCTTACATAAGGGTAAATTTATCATGATACAAAATTAGCACTTCATTTTAGTATCAATGTATCAAGCACGAAAGTACTAATTGGGGACACTATTTTAACGTCTCCTACTGGAGACGGGACCGCCATTTTACGTGGTCATCCGAGCCACGCGAAGGTCTAGCCATTTGCAGGGCAAAGGCAGTACCCTCATTTCTCAGTTATTTTAAGACGCTGGGTGTTGGTCCGGTCCTGGGAATCGAACCCGTGAACTCCCGCTCTGCAGGCGAGCGCTCTACCGACTGAGCTAACCCTGCTGCAGTTGATAGACTATCAAAGGAAGCCTAACAAGACCGCCAAAACGAGAAAGCAGTTCCCTTTGTTTCTAGAAAAACACATATTTTGCCTGCTTTCATTGCGCTTTGCTCGATTCGATAAGAACTTTCAGTTTCAGTGTAACACTTGTAAACTAACCTCTTGGATAGATTCTCCTATTGATAGGGCGTATCTTACGACAGAGCCTCGCCTAGAATAGGATGAGCTTTCCCCTTCTTCTTCAGTGATGCTTCCTAACGTAGCGCAATCAGCACAAGCACCATTCCCGACATGACTGAAAACAAAAAGAGCTTATTCACTACAGGTACAACTATAAAGAAAATCTATTGTATCAGTCCCAACTTAAGGACGAATCAAAGTAACGTTATTGGAGGTTTCGTTGCTAGAAAATTCAAAATAAACTGTTGAGCCAAAGCTATCATTAGAGGAGGAGAGATTTTTAGAGGTTGGGCGCTCAACAAATGATGGTCTTTTTTGTCAACTTTAAATACTTTCTAAGCATTTATATTCTTTATCAAGCTGAGAAAAGCATGATTACAAAGTTCAGCAACTTCTTACAAACTAAACAAAGAAAATAGTTCATGGGTGTACGTACACGGTTGCGCCATCAACCAGTTCACCAGATTGCCTCTCGCCGCTTTACAATTAACAGAATAACCCTAAGGACTGGGGACTTATTTCCTTCGTCATTTTGTAAAACTTATTTAACTATGGTTTCACTTACGTCGTCTTTTCATCCTTGCAGTTCACCGGAAAAAGAAAGTAAAATGAATGAATAAGGGACCGGGCAAGTCATCCTTAAACTAAATCATTAACAAAGACAAGCAAGAAGTGGCCCCAGGTAAGCAAAATGTGAAAGCTGTGTTGCCCAAAGGACAAACTGGTATTCCAAATTGGGTCTGTACACCGAACCGACCGTATCTGTAAGGAGCTCATAGTCTTCAGACTAACGAGAGAAAAGGAATTGTACATTGAGGTCTAGTACGTGCAGTATAACTAATCATCCTAAAAAGCGCAGCGCTCTAAGACAGCTTTATCTTGAAACAGGTTTTACTAGCAGCTGTGCACTTTATGCTGAAAAGTTCAGTAGTTTGAGTAGTGTAAGCAGGACGTGACAAGGACAAATTTATTCACACTTAAGTTATAAAAACAACAACTTTATTTGTACCCTACATTGTTTTAACGTGATACAAAAAAAATTACTATAAAATATGGAGAGAGTACAGGCTACCCATGATAACTATTAAGGGCTAAAAAGATTGGGCAGCCTCACTTAGATTATTAATAAATTATTATATTATGGGTCAGGTACATCTTGCCTGGCCGCTGACCATCCAAGAAAAACTATTGCAAAACGGGGGAGTTAATTGTTCTGCTTTTCAAATAGCTCTCATGGAACACAATTGGTTTGTGTGCAATAATTAACTGCTGACTTAACAAGACGACCAAAGAATTCACATAAAAGCACTTAAAACTGTAAACTGACATTGTCTTACAATTGCTGGGGTTCGTCGCCCGGGTTTGTCACTATGCGCTGTCAAATTTACACCAGAAAGACAAACGTATTGTCGAAACTGAAGCGGAAAAAGTAAATCTCATTTGTGATTTTTGTTTAGAGCTGCCGTTCGGAGCGAAAACAATAAACCTCGCCTCTCGCGGCTTAGCCGCTCGCTCGCGCGTTCTCGCGTGACTCACTTCTCTCGCCCAAATTGGAGAGCTTGCTTGCCGGCTACAATAAACCCAGAACTGATGGCACCTAATCTAGTGTCAAAGAGTTCATACCTGAACGAGTTTAGAAAAACCGGCGAGAGTTCACTTTGTACGTAAAAGTTGCACGTACGAAGTCCACAAACTGTCTATAAAACCGATGTGCTGAGCCGAGATTTTTTAAAACGCTTTGCTCAGTAATGATTACACGTAAATACAAACCTAGTAAAAGAAAATGCCATGTTAAGTGTTAATATATCCTTAAGCGGTGTTAAAATTCCACGTAGGTATCGGTTAAATATTTCATTAGCACATTTTTTGTCAAGGATTCAAATTTGGCACGAAATCTAATTTTCGACACGTTTTTAAGTAAACAGGGCAATTTAACAAACTGGCGCAAATCTAAAAACTGTCAAAATAAAACTACGATAGGCCTTACGAAATTTTAATCACTCTTTCGGCGAAATATTATGTCACGATTTCAAATATTGAAAAATATTATAACTATTTAAACTACCGTTCAAAATCCTGGCGAAAGGTTTTAGAATCGAATCAGGGAATTGGCATGTTAGACAAATTAGAAATGACTACTGTCTGCGTTTGATTAAACAAAGGACGAGGAAGAAGCAATAATTGAACAAAGTTGGGAAGTTAAAATATATTCGCCACTTAAGTCATTCTTTGTCGTCCAAGAAAAAATCATCAGAGAAGGAAAAAGAGTTCCCCAAAAGCAATAATCGAACTACACTACGGCCAAAGACAGAAAATTAATATAATAAAGGAAGGCAAGTCAACACGCATTTTATCATGATTAAACTAATATACATTGCCGGCCAATCATGTTCTTCACTAACAACTAATACAGTCTCAGACACATTGCACTAAAACGTTTAATAATTGAATGTTCGTATTATACAAACAAAAACTGCATGACAATTTTGTCACAATGCAGCTCTTCTTTAACAATACAGCTTCGCGGGAAGTTTTTATGACCAATGTCCCACCTGCGATGCCTCTGCACTCCGGATACTCGACTAAAAAACACGTCTCAATTTTTTAAGGTCTCCTCGACACTTACTCTTTCATTCTTTCAATATTATTTTCTGGCAAAGTAAAGTGAACTACAAAAAGGACACTGACTTTGCTTTCATACTCGTTATCGAATTAGAGCGGTTTCGATCGTGCCTATATTAGTCACTAACCATCAACTTACAGTCAAACACTCAGCCTTAATACAGACATTAAAGTGTCCGTATTACAGAGGTACGAGAGGTTGGAAGTGTAGTTAAAAGCGAGATCGAGTCAATCAAAGCTCTCCCTGACTCCAGAGGTCCCTTCTCGAGATACCTTGGATGAATTATCAGAACTATCAGGAATTAGGAAAGAAAAAAAAACCTAGTACCCAGGGTAATCAAAGCCGGACAACTTCCATAATTACCCTTGCACGCCTTTAAACAAACGAAGAGGAATTTAACTAAGCATAAAATTCGACTGACCTTCGAGGATGCCGAGATTCGTCTCAAAGCGTCATAATAAACGTGATCTCTAGCTTCTTCCTGTGTTTGTAAAATTTCCAGTACACTGCTGAGTTTAGGCGGAGGAATGTTATGGTGGGGATTCTGTGATTGCATCCACTCTCGCGCGATCCTCCATAGGTTGGCCATTTAGCTTCATACGGGACGCAGGAGTTGAGCATCCATTCAACCCTGGGACGGTGAACACAAAGGACAAGAACAAAATTAGTTTGCTTTAACACCAATACACAAACCAGTGTCACGCAGCCGAAAAGTGACCGACGATAACAAACAGCCAAAACAGCCGCAAATGCTTCACACGTCTTACAAATGTACGGAGACTATTTGGCTATGCGAGCTATATTTACTGAATAGAAGTGAAAATAACTAGTCGCTTGGACTGACTAACACACTTCGCACGTTCAATAATTTCTAAAACACAATTATAACCGGTCTATTGAATTTCCCTATAGACTTCGTTCTTACCTGCTTTATTTTGCCCATAGATACTAATTAGGAGACTTAAAATTACGATTAACAAACGGTTGCTGTACAGAAACTAGAGCTTAAGATGAGAAACCTTAGAAAGATTTTGTATACACGTAAATCAAAAACGTACAGAGCAGCAATTCACACATCTTGTCAAATTGAATTTACGATTTGTTTGCCGAGTGTCAGGAAGCCAACTGCTTATTTGCTCTTTGCTGACATGATAACGAATTCAACTAATCCATTCATCGATCTTAATTAATTCAATCTCTCTACGTTAGTTAATCCACACACGCTGATTTTTACACCCGAGTCAATTATAAAGCCATATATGATGTGGTTCTACCTTTTGATTCTGTGGGTTAAAACTTATGTGGTGTAACCATTTAAATGAAACTCTTTGGCAGTACTTTTAAAAGGTGCTATTTATTTCAATGATTTTCCACAATATAGTTTTGATTTGAATGAAATTTGGTTAGCATTCTTCAGAGTTAAAATGGTTAATGACGGTTAAGAGCTCTGGGATAGCCAAGCATCCTTTCCAACAACAAGAAAAAAAACTGAAAGGCAGCAATACAAAATAACAGACGTATTTATCCTTGTTTAAAAGTGCAACGCAAATATAATGATCAATGACTGTACACTGAAAAAGGATACCAAAGCAACACAGCAGTTTGGCCACAAAAATGTCCGGGGCAGAAAAAAAATCAACCTCCTGGAAATAGTTTGGTAAGAGTATTTAGCCCTAGTTCCAAGACTCTTCTGGCAAACTCTGACTGCAACGATCTTGACCTTTCTCACCCTGCCCCTGTGTCTTTGAGGATGGGTGGGGCGCTCTGCCTCTCTCTCTCTCTCTCTCTCTCTCTCTCTTTCAATAAACACCGGGATACAGAGGGCCACCGATAAGCACATGAGACACTATATTTTCAAGGTGGGTGACACCCCTACCCCTCACCTCTATGCCCCCACTGCACCTCTAACGTGACACTAGGTGACTGGCAATAGGGAGCTTAAGCAACAACGACGGCAACGGCAGGGGCAACCTCACTGTAAAAGGGAATTTGTCTCGTTTTATGTTGTATAACTTTTATTCCGTCTTGTTCGGTTTGACAAATATTGCCAATTTTTTTCTGGAAGTAATTCCCAAGGACCTCATCTAAGTTCAGAAAAAAAAGGAGAAAACGTCGTCTTGCGTTTACACCCTCAAAAAAACCGTGAAATTGGAAATTTCGCGTCAGTGAATTTCTATTTTGTAAAGCAAGTTTATTCTTTGCAAAGCTGAAGTTATCAGTAACAACTACACTTTCGTTTCCCTTTGCTTGAAAACAGAATGATGCGACAAACTGAATGAAACTTCTTGGCGGTTGTCAACAAGCCAAATATTAGTAAAATTTCTCTTAAGAGTTAGTTTAAAAGACATTTACTCTTTCTAAAGTGAAAGTTTTGATAAGGCAAGACTTCAGATATATAAACTTGACAAAAAATTATTCTTAAAATCCATATTAAAGAAGAAGCTTTTCAAGTATAGCATGCAGTGCATGGGTTTTCTGCGGAAGCACAAACTATGAATCTTACCGGGATTGTGGTACAAGACTCCCCACAATGTCACCCTGCTAACAACGCTTTTCTTTCGCTAGCTCGATTTTGGCGCACTCAATAAAGACTGCATGAATCGAGTAAGATCTTTGTTGAGCATGCGCTGCATGCGGGCACGTTGTTGGGATAAAGTTCAGTGGATCCCAGGTCTAAAAGCCGTGCGCTTGCTACAGCTGGCTCGGTTATGACCATCAGTTTATCAATAAACGGATGCTCGCACTCGAACAAACATATTTGACGAGAGAAACAAGATTGACTAGTACAGAGGTCTGGGCTGCGGCGACTTCAAAGGATTGACGCGATTATTGGAGAACCTTCTTTCCTCCTTCTTACTTAAGGAGACAAAATGAGGCTCTGCTCGCAGGGTGAGCTTTCTTCTGAGTGAAAGTACCTTAAGTGCCTGGTACAGCGGGCTCAGTTGTAACCTTCAGTTTATCAATAAACGGATGCTCGCACTCGAAAAAACCAGTTTGACGAGAGAACACAAGACTGACTAGTACAGAGGTCTGGGCTGCGGCGACTTCAAAGGATTGACGAGATTCTTGCAGAGCCTCCTTTCCTCCTTCTTAGGCTCTGCTCGCAGGGTGAGCTTTCTTTTGAGTGGAAGTACCGCAAGTGCCTGATACAGCGGGCTCAGTTGTGACCTTCGGTTTATCAATAAACGGATGCTCGCACTCGAAAAAACCAGTTTGACATGAGGAAACAGGATTGACTAGTACAGAGGTCTGGGCTGCGATGACTTAAAAGGATTGACGCGATAAAGGCAGATCCTCCTTTCCTCTTTCTTACTCAAGAAGACAAAATGAGACGCTGCACGCAGGTGGTCCCGCACGGGGGGGGGGGGATCACTTGGGTTAATTTTTGCTGGATGTGTGGTCACTTTTGGGCAAATATGTCATTTTCGCGATTCCAACTCAGTCACTTTCTGCTGTTTTGAATTGACCCATTTTTTAGATTGAATGAAGAATACTTTACTTTTCATCTGCAGTACAAACATTCTGGTACGTTTGCCAACCGTAAATATGAAGAACTGTCTTACCCCAAAAAATTCGAAAATGTGCTACCCCATTCTAGTAACTCTATTGAAAATGCGACCCCATTATAGTCCAGTGGTGAAAATGCGACCCCATCCAGCGGCACATCCCCATTAGCCTCTGATAAGGAAGTATCCCCCGGGAACGTGGTCGTTAGTGTTTAGGAGACAGGATAAAAAATGTTTTATGTAAAATAAAAAGTGTTTAATGAACAGATTAGATCGTTTTCAACTGACGTCACGGCGGCCAGATTGGTGTACAAAACAATGAAACAGCGTCCGTGTTCGTGTACCAAAAAAATCAAGAAATTTCTATAGCTGCTGGTTACGTGAGTGTTACTAGTCGGAATATGTTATTGCCAAAAAAGCATTTCAGTGAAAACCGACGTCTGTAAATTAAAAGAATGTTTCGAAGAAAAAAAGGAAAACCATTAGGGTACTAAAACCTATCAGGCAACTCAGATAGCACTTAAGTAAAATCCCAGCTGTATTACGTGCATTACAAAGTCATCAACTTGGGAAATGAAGTATTGCTTAAAAATATCGGTAAAAAAGCGGCTGTAATTTTTAACATTACGGGCATTAGCAAGTCATTAACTCGGTAAATCAATTAAAAGTAAAGAAGCATAAATGGGTTTTACTCACGTAAGGCATTGAGCTCTGCACGCTACCCATCGTCTACTGCTTTCTTACTCAGGGTTGTCATTAAGAGCCGGGGGCCGGGGATTTTCCCCGGCTACTAAGAGAGTGGCCCCCGGCTACTTTCATTGGAAAATAGAAGAAAAATAAAACCAAAAGAAATCCCTAGCCGTTTGATTCACCGCCTACTTGTTGTATTTACCCGGCAACTTGAAATCTTAGTGACAACCCTGCTTACTATTTTTCGTACAAGCTTCACATGGTGTGAAAAATCTGTCCGAAAATGGGCGGAAAAAAGTCAGTAAGAGAATGTAAGGAATCACCTCCACAGATACCGTAAAATTCCGAAAATAAGCCCCTCCAAATATAAGCCCCCCCAAACCGGTAACGCAAAAAACCCTCCGTTAAATCGCCCCTCAATATATAAGCCCCCGGGGGGTTGTACTTGGAAAATTGCCCTCAAATACAAAGTAAAACAAAGCAAAAACGGTAAATTTACTTCCAACTATAAGGCTAGCTCAATCGATTTTGAGACACAAATTTCCCTCCGTAGATAAGCCCCTCCGAATATAAGCTACTCCAAAAATAAGCCCCTCAAAAAGGGCCTTTGAAAAATATAAGCCTCGGGGCTTATTTTTCGGAATTTTACAACGAAAAATAGCAAGTACTATAGTCAACCGGGGAATCTGAGTAAAGAAAGTTTTTAATGGTTAAAGTGACTAATTTTACTTTCAGGGTGCATAATAAAAGACCAAGCAGTTAACAGCGAGACGTGCTTGCAAAGCCATTGACAGAACAAAAAAACGTGGCAGCTGCCTCTTACGACTTCCTGTAAGTTTTTAGCAAATTTAGATGGAAAAAAAATGTACACGTAGGCGACAAATAGTTATGTCCTTGAAAACAGTTGTAAAGGGAAACGCCAAAAATTCTAAGTATACGTTGTCAAAAAGGCAAAAAGTCACGTTCTCCAGCCAGACAAACAAATAATAAAATATATATTATTATAATAGCCCAAGCGTCCTTAGTTGTTTAACATACATGTACAAACAACAACAAAAAAACATTTGTGAGAGTTTCAAAACAACAGTTCAATTTTGCATCAACAATATACGAGAGGAAAATAGTTTTTACACGATTAAACCCCAAAGTATTGTTCGAGCTTAAAAGCATTAAAAGGGGGTAATTCCTTTAGGGGACCAATTTACGTTTCTAGGAAACTGCCCACCTACCCCTCCCCTAAGCTAACATTGTCACTTACTTCTCACTTAAGGCAAAATGTTGGCTTAGGGGAGGAGGGGTAGGTGGGCATTTTCTCAGAAAGCTAAATTGATCCCCTTTAGGCATCCAGCTTTAACCCTTTCATTCTTAGAGTAAATGAGGGAGTCCTGTTGGGTGGTTCTAACTTTTGAGTCTGTGGACGAAATCCTGCCGTGTGAATATTCAAATAAAACCTCTTTTGAATTTAAGTGCTTCCGCAGCGTATTAATTGTTTTTCAGTGTTTAACACAGTGAAATTTGGAAGTATTGCAAATTTCAACTTTGACCACAATTTCGAAGTAAAAGTGTTAAGGACGCGGAATTTTCCCTGCAATTTTTTCCTTATGCAACACTTATGTCTCACAATGTTTACGAAGTAGAATCAAGTTTAACCTCTTGCAAAGCTTACTTTTTACCTACGATTAAGCCAAGACAACGTCACCACGGCATTACACTTTTAATCTCGATTGTAATCAAAATTTTTTGCATTCGCACTCTTTGTGCGTGGGTATTCTTTTCAACTCTACTGCCTTGGGAATTCATTTAAGCAAAACTTCGCAACCTGCGATTTCAAAACGAGGCTTGGTGGTGAAATTTGCCCGTCTGACGTAAACATGCTTAAGGGCTATTATAGTTCATAGCATTCGCTGGTCGTGCGAGTTACATTTGACTGCGGAAACGTTTTCACGATTGTAAATTGTAAATACAAATACAATTTACAATTTTTACAATACAATTTTTTTGGTCGTGCGAGTTACATTTGACTGCGGAAACGCTTTCACGATTTGACTTGAAACAACAAAACTAATTCCCAGAAGTGGTCAGTGATGTAAGATTTGTACATGGCCAAATGAATTTGCATTTGTTGTTTAGCAAGTGGGCGAGTTGCTATTTCCAACACTGATATCAGTCATGACACTTGCTCTTTCATAAGAATCAATGAGAATCAATCAGGAGAACGTTGCAGCTGCTCTCCTTTGCAATCTTATGACGTCAATGAACACCATTCCTAATTCAAATTTGTACGGAAATTGCATGTAAAACGCATTTCGTCTGAAAATACAATGATTTGTTTTTTTTAGAATCAGCAGCAAAGAGGAGAGACAGGTGAATAGGGAGCAACGACGACGGCGACGCCAACGAGAAGGGCAGAAAAGCAATAGGTTTAAATTGGCCAAACAACTACTTTGCAAGAGCATCACGCTTTCTTGGTACATTTCTTTGCCGTCACTTTACGACTACCACGTGAAAATGCCTAATTTCACGTTTTGTGAAAAACGTGAACACAAGACAACGACTCTCTTTTTCTTTTCCCGCACTTCGATACATTATTAGAATTCAACTCCAGAAAAAATTGCCAACATTAAACGAATTGAACGAGATGGAAGTTTAAAGCAGCGCGGCTTCACTTTTTAAGTGACGTTTTCGTAACCGTCGCCGTCTTGACCCCTACAGAACTACTCGCCGGATAACACAGAATGACGGCACTTGTATTTTTTTATATATGAGAGTTTCAAGCAAAGGCGTTTTTGAGCGACCCAAGTTAACCGGAAGTGAGACATTCGACACGAAGAACACCCCGGTCTTTTTCACAGGGTAATCCTCACCCCAACCCCCCCCCCCCCCCTTCAATGGCGAACGAAGAATACAAGTTTGTTTTACAGAAAATACTCTAAGAAAAGTCTGACACATGCTTAAGTTTGTATTCGCTTAAAATACGATCAGCTTAACACATTTTACCGTACCAAATAAAACAGTCCATACGACTTTCGTGTTACTGCCAGTTTTAAAAATATCTTGCTTTCAGCCACTAATATATATAATTTAGTGATTTGACGGCAAGTAACCCACCACTTAGACGTTGCGCACATTATCCAGAAAGAAACCATAACAAATGTCAAACAATACTGAGCTAATTGGTCACGTCGCAAGTTAATCGAGAAAACATTAAAGCCCGAAACTGTGGATAACATGTTTCTCTGCGTAAACCCTCTATTTCACCGTCACGAGTGAACCAAACAAAAAATTTTAAAAAAAAATCGTATTTTTTGGAAACTTCGTAGAAATAGAGAGTACCACGAAGGAAGAACTCCCTGAGAGGCTTCATCTGAACAGCTTCTTAAAAACAGTTCATGTACGGCCATAAAAAATTAAAAACGTGCGACCACCGACAGGCTAACAGGAAGAATTAATTAACTGGAGCGTGAAAAATTATCTGGAAATTGAAGGAGACCTCAAAATCGCATTTTGCTAAAATATGAAAACATTAAGGATTAAGGATAGTTTGAAATGAAAGAGTTCTGAATGCCATCCTTTTAAGGCTGGTTTTCACTAGCGACGGAGTCGGAGTCGGAGTCGTAAGCGGAGTCGTAAGAGCGCTTCTTGACCTAGTGAAAATCAAAAATCGGAGTCGTAAGCGGAGTCATAAGCGCGACGGAATCGGAGTCAGAAGAATCAGAACGTTTCCATTTTCTTCCGACTCCGCTTACGACTCCGTCGCTTACGTTCCGCTTATGATCTAGTGAAAACCAGATTGTCGGAGTCGGAAGCAGAAGCGGAAGGATAAGCCAATCAGAATGCACGTTCCCACGCTTTGTGATTGGTTTGGTTCTTCTGCTTCTGCTTCCGACTCCGACAATATGGTTTTCACTAGATCATAAGCGGAACGTAAGCGAGATCGGAACGCTGTTTTCACTAGATCATAAGCTCTACGCTTCTGATTACGACTCCGACTCCGACTCCGTCGCTAGTGAAAACCAGCCAGGAGGGAAAAAGTACTCTATCAGTTTTCTTCCAACGAACTTATGACAAGTTTTACCCTTTAGAATGACCAATTTCAATTTCTCCTTATAGCAATACTGCCCAAATAAATAAAGAGGTTGTGAGAAGAAGATGATCAATAAGTGAACGAGTCTTTATTTTTGAACTAACTCTCCCTAACAGTACTACAGGAAATGTATGGAGTACGGTGTGGAGAATATCCATATTGATATGAGGGTTAACTTTGGGAAGGGAGTAAACTCAAACGTTAGAAGGTACGGAGAGCGTAAATGTTCCTCTTTTTAATTCTTTCACTCCCAGAACTGGCTAAAGTCAAGATTAGACAAAAATTGCAAATTTCCTTTAGGCAAATACCAAAACAGAAACAGCATCATTTGAAAGTACAGACAAAGAGGTTTCATTTGAGTGGTCACAGCAGGATTTCCTCAACGGAGTCAAAAGTTAGAAGTATAGTACCTGAAAGGATTCAATCATTCACTTTGGGAGTGATTGACGGAGGAAGGTGGGCTCCTGTTTTAGCATTCATCGGTGTTTGCAGTATTGTTTACAAATGTGCTTTTTTATTGGTGTAAACAATAACATGATCCTGATCACTGTAAACTCTACTTCGGAACTGCTCTTGGACAAACACAGTCGAACCTCCACTAACGTGCCATATATATGATGGGTGTGGTAACCCGCCACATGTTACCTGACCTATCTGGGGTACCCCACCTCCATGTAAACAGGCCCTTAGTCTAGTTCCATCCCAACACAGCAGAATTCAAAAACCTCTCTCAAAATGGTAGTCGTTCTAAGAAGTTCTGACCCTATTTGGAATTCCTACTTCCTTTTTTAGTATCACTCCCAGAGCTCCCACAAAGACTGATAATACTTTTGTTTCTGCTCTCCAAAGCCTAGATATTTCCATTGCAATGCCTGATATTTTTCCTGTTTCTTTCTCTCTTTAATTTCAACGTTCCAATCGCTTAGTACCGCAATGTTATAACTACTATTATTCCTATCATAATTATTATTATTTTAACCTATTGCAAAATTAATCCAAATTTCCAAGAGATCCAGCAGTAAATATCTGTTTTTTGCTGCGGTTTCGTTGCTCTATATTATAAATAATAATGATGATAATGATAATAATAATAATAATAACAATAATGACAACAACAACAACAATAATAATGGCTTTATTCAGCATTTCCACTAGCTGGTTCTTCGTCATTTTTGTGATTCTTTGTTCTATTATTTGTTGTGTACTTCAGTAGATTTTTTGTTTTTGGTTTTGTTTCACCCGGTAATCCCAGTTTCATCCCAAGAAAATGTCACAAACAATAATATCACGGCTTACGGCATTACGTTGGTCGATGTTGACTCGACACAAATGTAACCTTTTTACTGAAAATTGCTTTTTATAATTCCGCATTTGAGCACTGAAAATGTAGGAGGGCGAGCAAAACAAAGCACTGAGCAGGTGCTTGAATTTTTATAAAAATTCAATGACAAAACATCAATAAGACTTGATTACGTGTTAACACATTCATTAACACAAGCTGAATGACAAATTTTGGCTCAAACGAAAAAGAAAAAATTAAATAATAATAACCATGAAAATAGTGGAGAAAACGTAAGAACTTATGCAGGGGAAAGTGATGTTTTAATCGTTGTAAAGGGTATGAATAATCCTTAGCCCACGTAAAGAATAGTATATATCATGCCACAGTTTGCAATACGATTTTTAACAGACAGGTAATGTTAAGAAATTATCTTCCAGAATATTCAGTTTTTGATCGCGAAAGTTATAACAGCCAAGAGTATAAATATATTTTTGACTGCAACTTGATCGCAAATTTGTTTATTGCTTGTTGGTGACACAGTCGAGAACAAAAAGCCCTGGTTTATGAGCGGATGTTGCTAAGATTCTTCGCATAACATGACACAACAACTTTAAGTATCTGGGGGAGTCACGAAGTACACGGCTTTTATCCCTTTTTTGTTTTAAAAGGATGCAAATAAGGCACGTAATCTGTCAGCGATTCACCATTATTCGGAGAAAAGTGGAACTTGTTTCCAATAAAATCATGATTGCCCACGAAAGATTGACTTAAAACTGTTATTCATAGGAGATTATGAATACGATTATATTACCTCTGATGGAAAAAGGTTCACCAACACATGTAAGATATGGCTACTTAAACATGGATGATAGTTTTGCTACTCTGGCACGGAAACGGTTAAAAAAGCAGATGTAAGAGGAAATATAGTCCGATGAGCTGAGTTCTATGATAATTTTAGTTAACAGCAATTTCAGGCCAGAACGGCGCCAATTAAACGAGGTAGCCGCTACTAACGGACATATCAGTTGTGTAAGCTAATAAATTGTTGCAAACATGAAACCATTCCACATAATCATCTGCTGCGTGTTTTGACACAGTGGTCCTGACAATACAGAAATGAATTAATTTTAAAAGGCAGAAAAATATTTAAATTTTCTTCATGACTGTATGATCTTCTGAATTGTTTATCAGACTGAAATATATTCACTCGAAAACATCCCCGGCGTGCGTGCAAGGATTACATGACTGCGCAACAGTTCGCAGCATGGAAACATTAAGCAATGAATATTAAAGTACGACTGAATAACATTTTAGCCAATTTTTTTCGAGAAAGGACAAAAAACCGACTGTAAAGAATATTTGTTCTATTATTTACTACACCTTGTTTATACTTTATTTGACAGTCTACATTCACAAGCTGTTCGTGGAAGCCAGTTGCTTCAATAACATCTATTCATATTATTTCAAGTCTTCGCAGGTTGATGCAAAACGAATCATATTCCAGCTAACCATGCCCCCTAAAAGTAATGCCATTATCCCGAATACAAAAACTACGCCCTATTAGACACCTCGACAGGAAAACTCTAATTTGGAGCTCGGCCCTGACCAATAACGTCAAGTCGTCTTACTATAGCAACTCCTCTAATTAAACTGCATTGTGTGGAGCTCATTAACAATTCCTGTAACTCTGGAAACATATAGAAGGAGACGACTCTACAGTGTTTGCCTACTTTTTAATGTATGCTTCTCGCTCGCTGATCGTGAAACAGTGCAATTCTCCGAGCTTGCTCACCGTGAGATTTCGGGGCTTGAGAACTGGTCTAGCGCGATTTAAGTCACGTTTTGAGCGCCTACAACCTACATTACTCCTAAGAGCTCGTTATGTTATCAGTATGTTTCTGCTTCCGATCGGATCGTCGAATATTCAAAAGACATAATGGCTGCCAAATATAACTCGCCCTGCTCTAGCGTGTTCCACCAACTAAGGAAATAATAAGAGCTCCTCCTCAATCTTATAATGGGAAGCGGTATTTCAAAAAAACAAAGCGAAACACCGGTGGAAAAGAAGAAGAAAGGAAAGAAGACTTTCCAGTTGAAATGCCTGACGGAGCACACTGACGGAATAAATGCTATGTGTTTGAGCCCCGATGGAAACACTCTCATCACAGTTTCTGAAGACAAAACCGGTCGACTGTGGGACACAAAGACTGATGAGTGTGTAGGACTGCTTCAGGGACATGTGATGTACATCAAAGACGTTTGTGTCTCGGAAAGGTACATCTTCACTTGCTCCGCCGACAAGACTGTTCGTAAGTGGAACTTGGAAAGCGGAGTGTTAATAAAGGTATTCACGGGGCATCAGTCGACAGTGAACCAAGTCATCTGCTCGGGAGATTTAGTGTTTTCGTGCTCTTACGACAAGACAATTAAGTGCTGGCATGCCGATACGGGTGAGTGCCTTCGAACTTTTCGCGGGCACAGACTATCTGTGAATACGCTTCTTCTTGTTTCGGAGTCATACAGAAGAGCGGAGTTTGCGGCTGTTGATATGGAAAACAACGATGATATTCTCGTTTCGGGCTCTGTGGATGGTACAGCAAAGAGCTGGGGAATGAACGAAAACGAATGTAGGACGACTTTTAAAGGACATCAAGCCGCGGTAACTTGCTTAGCGGTAGATGGAAAAGGAAAGACTTTATTTACAGGTTCTGCTGACACAACGATTCGCTCGTGGGATCTTGCAACTGGGGCTCCTTTTAAAACTTTCACAGGCCATCAAGGTGCGATGATTCAAATCCAGGTACGTATTTTAAGATTACAAACTGTAACATTCTTAATTTCATAAAAACTCGGTTATTTCCCAATGAAACGCTTGTCCTAAATGAAATGAGAATCAAAAATGAATAGAAGAAAACTTCTCCGAAATTATTTAGCATCGAATCGGCGAGAATCGAATTGTCACCATTCTGAAAGGTTCTTTGAAACTTAGACAGCCGTTTTAAGCCCATAACACGCGAATTGATCCCTTAAATAACACGGGATGATATTACGTTTGCCTTCGAAGGATAAACGTTTTGTTATTTTGTATTCTTATGCACCATTGGAGCGGTGTGCTAATCTGTACTATTTATAGCGTTTAATTTTCCTCAATAATTGTTTTTCTTGCCGTGTCGATTTTCTTTCATGCTTTATCTCCTGTCTAGTTCAAAATCGTAACTTTTCGTTTGATCTCCCCAGTAGAACATTTGTAGCTTATCACTTTGACTTGTTACATTGAATTCTCCGTCAAATTTTGGGTAATGCCGTTTCTTTTCGTCTCGACCCTATTCGCCTACTCTCTACAGCTGTCGTTATGCTGCCTTGTTCGAAATATAATTACATCATGAGCTTTTTTTTCTTTCTGTTAGAAAATTTGGCCTTTAGCACATACGGCAGGTCTCAACTAGTCCCGAATCACTTGTTTGCCGAAATTGTTGTTATTGTTGTTCCAAATTTTAAAATAGCTTTTAGCCATAGGTTTCAAATTCTGTTTACTTGACTTCTAATAGTGGCGACACTAATAACTTTGTTCTAGTTTTGGTTTTGCGGTATCTTTTCATTTTGTTTTAAAGATATAATATGAGGCATTTCTTTATACATTACCTAATTAATTTTGGCTAAAACAGAGTGGTTGCCGCGGAGACAAGAATAAAACCAGTCACTCATAATGGTATGACGACAGTAGGTACCTGTCTCACTGCAAACTGCGGTTGTTCAATGTTATACATCGGCATACAATTTACACCTCAAGATATCTTTTGCATAGAAAGAAATAAAAAGGGAACGGAAGATGAAAAAAGAAAAAGAAAAATGTTTCTATTTTTGATACTGCTCCATTGTGTTTACAAGATTCCTTAATTATCGATCTTGCCTTGAAACCTCAGCTGTTTACATGTGTGGGTTTCAAAACTGCATGTTCGTTTTGAAATTTCTAAATCGAACCGGAAATTTAAAGCTGAAGCCATCTTTTAGCAAGTAAATTGATAGAATCGCGTATGCATCTCTTCTTTACAACATGAGTTGATTCTCCAAAAGTTATAGGAAATTCTATTTGACGTCTTTGTATCCATACACTTCACCAAACAACAAACTAAACCTAAACTAAAAAAGCAATTATTTTTGTCAGTCTCTTCTATAGACTCTTTTTTTAAACGGGTACTTTGAGCTCTCAGTTATTGGTTATTTAGGCCAAATTGACTGCTAGGAACAAAATAATATTGTAATTTTTAATCAAAGAACTCAAAACGATGTAAATCCACAGATTAATAACGATAGCTGATTGGAGTTTCCTTGTTAATAAATTGTCCCTGCAAAAGACAGTTGTCTCCAAAGACTTTCACACTTCGTAATTTACTTATGACTAACTAAAGCTGCTCTTGTTTGATGTATTTCACATTTCTGTTATGTAAATGAGAAGAGAGTCTTAGCTGAGTTAAATATTCAACAATTTAAGGTTTTCAGTTGAAAAGCAAAAACGTAATTTCCTCCTATTTAAACAATGCAGTAAGGGTTTTCAATTCCATGCTTCGAGGATTTGAAGCATGTTAATTTATGGTATCATTATCAGAAAATATGTATTCTTAATCTAGTTGATAAATTCCTTATTCAAGAAAATTGATACCACCTATCAGTTTGACATTGTATTTGGAAAACATCAGTAGAAAATAGATGTTTATCACCACAGGAAATTAGGGAACCATAAACATTACAGACCACAGAACTTTAAGCTGATTCAAATTGAAGTTTGCAAACAATTCTTTACAACCTAACAAACTGAAATTTGGAATTTTACTCAGAATAATAGTAGAACCCCTACCAGAAATAAGTGGCCACCGTAGACAGGTTTAACAAGAGTGAAAGTTTTAGTTGCACTGAGATTGAGAAAAAGCATTCATTGCATAAGTTAGTCATTGTGTTAAAACCACGAGTTAATGTACAACTCTATCTCTCACACCAGAAAGAAGAAAGTAGGCATTGCAGAGAGGTTAAAATAACAATTTGTTCCTACATTTGTATTTATTTCTTTCTAAACTTCACCAAGAGGCCTGGATCACTCATAGAGCAAGTTCCGCTATGAGGTCCATACATACATATGATCATCACAGTGGTAATTACAATTTAAGCAATTGCAAATTAACATGAAAAAAAATTTCGGGACTTCAACAGGATTGGAACCCATAGCTTCTGCATTAGCGCTGCAGTGCTCTACCAACTGAGCTATGAAGACCCATACATTGGGAGCAGACCAATTTGTTGAGTTCATCTTAACCCATGAACATCCACGTTGTTGAGCACCCACTTTGCGCTAGTACAATTATGAAAAGGGGTAAAAATTTTTGATGAGCAGAATTGATTACAGTTCTTCTGTAATTCGAATTCCCCTAAAACCTTCACTAGCCAATTGGGCAGGTTTAGAACAGAATTTAACAGCCCAATAGCAAAATCCACTAGCCCTGGGCAATTAGACATTACTTTCATTGCATGCTGCGATGTATAACTGTGTTGTTTTTAACTCACCAGGTAGTCAATAAGCTCATGTACTCCTGCAATGCAGATCATACAGCAAAGTGTTGGGTGGTTGAGTTTGGTGACTGCACACGCACATATAAAGGACACAAACACACAGTCATTGTTATGAGCTTCCAGGATGGCATCTGTAAGTAAATAAAAAAGAGTTTACACATAAGCATAACAATAATTATTGGACTGCAACTTAGTAGTGTTTTTTATCCAGAGCATGATGTTTGAAGGGCTTTACAGTGTGACAACAGTGCATGTTAGCAGAACCCTATTCTGTGCAACAAAGAGGAGCACTAAATCTCAAAGTTCAGACATATAAAAACATGGAACTTTTTATCAAGGTTGATGTATACAGCCAAATCTCCTGTACACAACCAGGGCTCTACTCCACCCTTTTGTCCTTCCCCCCCCCGCCCCCAAAAAAAAAAAAAATGCGAAAAGCCTTGGGAAGGTGGCCACTTATGAGAGTCGACAAGCAGCTACTGCCATCACATCTGACACATCTGGCCCCGGTTGTTTAAAAGGTAGATAAATCTCTATCCACTGGATAGTGCAATTGGTTTTCCTAATACTTAATATCTGCTGAGCAGTGATCTATCTGGTTGACAGCAATATACAACATTTGCACAACCCTGGTCTGGACATTATTTGACAGTGACTGCCGTTATTTGCAACTCTGAAACAGTGTCCATTGAGATTTACCATCACAGGACACTGCACACTTCCAGCGGTTAACCAAGGTAGAAGCAATACACAATGTACACCTCCCCCCCACCACCAGCAAAAAAAGAACAGGTTTTGTCACACAATAAAATTATACCCTTAAGGGAGGAGAGATGGATGATTATTATTTGAGGGTAAAGACCACTTACTGATATTATGTGTGTAGTGAGCATTTCAGCATTGTTTCAAATTTTACATTTTCACTCATGGTGATGTTTATCTAGGCCAAAAAGCATTCTTTCCCTGATAGAAGTAATTTCTAGTCAATGGTTACAAAACTAATGCAGTTCCATTTAGACCTAAAGAAGCTCACATTAGAGTATTTTATTTTTTTGTCTAGGTAATAGGGTACACAATAACCAAAATTTATCATCTCTCCTTTTTTATAATGTCAAAATGTGCTAACGTTAATTATTAATGTCAGTCAATCCTTTTAACCCGATTAGTTTCTGTCTTAGCATAGTAAAATGTGTCACATTATATTCAGGAACCACCCCCACATCATATTAGCAAAGAAGTTCTAATTTGGCCATAATGGCTCTTGAGTAAAAACGTCTAAATTCGAGATAAACAAATACGCCATTAGGCTACCAGGCTTTTAAGTAGAGACCAGTACTTATTTAAAACTTGACAAACTGCCACACAACGTCAAACAAACATTAACACTTACTAATCAAAATGAAAGACAATGTCATCTGCAACACATATTGTTCATGATTATCTTCCTTAATGGAATCTTGTGAAATTTGTTTGATTTAGCTTTTATTTTAATGCAAACCTCATTTACAGCTGTATCTCTTAACTAAGAGCTACATTATGTACAGTCTGTACACATTGAAAGGGGTTTTAAAAAACATCTTTTTAAGGTATAAGAGGTGCCTTAATGCCAGTAATTGGAGCAAGCCTACGAAATCATTGATATCTGAAATAAACTATGAAATAGTTCACAAAAAAATCCCAAAAGTAAAGCATTTGCATTCAACAGAAGCAGAAAAAATAAAGGCCATGGTCCATACCCAAGATCACAATTTTTTTTTGAAAAACTGATAACCACAGGGATGTAACCTGGCTTGATACTCTCTGTTGTTGACAGTTTCATGTACGGCAAGGTAAGTTACATCAGAGCCAAATTTATCCCAACATAAAGCCTGATTGCTGTCATCATTCTTAATCAGTCTGTTCTATGGCCGTAAAAATGCTTCAGGGGGAATCATAAAATATCGAAATAAACAGTAATCAGGGCAAGGTTTTAAAAAGCCGGTCTGTTACAATAATGACTAATTTAGAAACTTTGAGTAGCAAGTTGATTTTACCACAGTGGCCTGCTGAAAAAGCCAGCTTCTGGCTACTAATAACATCCCCGAGTAATACACACAAACACATATAAGGACTGAACAAAATAATAATCCCTGCAAATTCTACATTCTCATCAATTTTATCTTTTAGTGTTTACAGCAAGTGGTGATAAATCTATAAAAGCCTTTGAATCAAAATCTGGAACATGCAAGAGGACATTTACAGGCCATGAGGGTGCAATAAATTGTATTCTGGTAAGTTCAGATTATCATTGCCAGGGTTGCAAATATTGTTGAATGATAAATGCGTTTTTCAAAGGTATTTGTTTAATGATTAGAGTGTCAATACCCCCAGTAGGGTTTTTTATGCTTGTGAGTTTTCACCAGAAGTACTTTGCTGTCCAAAAACTGACCAAATCCTTGGGTTTAATAACTGCTAATAACACTTTAGGAACTGTCCAAAATAGAGCTTTAGTGTTTAACTCGGGAATTTAGGCAAGCTTAACCCTTTAAGCCCTAAGAGTGGTCAGCAAATTTCTCCTAGTAATATCAATGCTTTGTAAAACAGAGTGGTCATGAGAATTACAGACATGATGACACAAGAAGAATTTGCTTGATATTTTATCAATTTCTCCCCACCACCTCTGTAGGAAATGAATAGGGGCAACAAATGAGAATTTAAATTTTGATCTAAGGGTTTACAGCGTTAAACATGAGACAATGCTGGCCAGCCAGTGGTCTCCAACACCAATCGTCTATAGAGGCCACTCTGGGGGGGGGGAGGTCTCACGTCGCCCGTCTGAATTTTAAAACGTCTTGTGTCGGTGTTTATAAATGCTTGTCGCTTATTGTTGGCTTTGCCATCACTGTCGTAATTTGGCCGAGGGAGGTTGTCAATTTCATTTTACGCGCTGTTGCTACTTTTTGGGCCATGTCGCTTGTTGGAATTAACCCTGGCAGGGTCTCTACTTAGGGCAGTCTTTGGCACTTTTACCTCTCTAGCAATTTAATAGCACTTTTGTTGAGGTCAATAATTTCACTCACATTGCCTTTGCGTGCAACAGCTTTAGCCATTTTTGCTGTGTTTTCCCAGTACTTAACCCTTGTAACCTGTTAAATAACGCTACAGAAATAATTGCCGTTTAGAACCACTCATGACCTCCTGATTTACTAACTGAACTCATTTTTTATATATAGCCTGTTGGAAGAAAGTTATACAGTGGTTCTAATGACGGATCTTTAAGAGTCTGGGATGCATCTAAACTAAGGGATGAAGAAGATGACATTTATAGCAATGGCAAACAGAATGGTGTTAAAAAGAAGTAGAAGAATCCTTGATAAAGAAACATTTTATAACCTCTGTGCTATATTATGGTAGGATGTTAAACTAAGAAAACCATCAAGACTTGAAATATTTTAGGATGTAAGGCTTTGTCCGCACGAATCCGGATACCTAACATTTTGACAAAAATTTGGCCTTCTGTGCACACGAAATCGGTGAATCCAGACACTGAACTGCATTGTTTTAACCCTTTTTAAGTCCCTAGATCCAAATACAAACTCTCCATACTGATCTCCATACATTTTTTAATGAATTGTTGAGAGAATTTGCTTTAAGAACAGAGCATTCTCCCTTTGGTAATCAATTAAGTAATTCTCATAACCTTTACTCTTAATGATCTGCTGTTGTTGTTAGGAGAAAATAGATGTTGGTCACTCTTGGGACCTAAAGGGTTAAAACTGCTTTCCAGGGTGGTTTTAGGCCCTGTTAACACAAATCCGGATGAATAATATGCGACTACAAAATTGTCCATATTCAGGTGGATACGGCCTAAATTTCACTGACCTATAACATTAGAGATCAAGGTCCATAAACAGTTACTACCAGACTAGAAAGTAATTTACATGTATTACAGTTTATTTACTTCCCATCTGACTGGTTTTTTTCTTGCAACACAAAATTATTTAAGAAGCTAATTTCTCCTATTTAATCAAGGATACCTGTACAGGTAATGAGAATGAAAATGATCTGCCAGTGACAGAGGTATTCATCGTTAATCAAATTCTTCTTATCAGTACCAGCCACTACCAGGAGAAATGCATGAAAACAGCGTGAAAAACATGTTTGTGGATAGCATGGCATTTTAAGGATTAATTGCCTAGTTTCAAATCAGTTTAACTCAAAATAAACGGACTTGACCCAGCCCCCCCTCGGTTTAAAACTAAGCAGTGAGATATAAAGTGGGAGGGTATAAGTGTTTAAATAAAGCCACTGTACTTAAGAGTTTTGTAAATATTTTTATACACAGATTATAGTGTTTCATCATGCTATTATTCAGCATATTGTTGTTACTAAAATACTAGGCAAGATGAAAGAGAGATGGCATATGGCTTTGTAACCAATAATTATTTCAAAGAAAAGAAGGGAAGCTGTTTAAGAGCAATATTTATTATTACTATGTGTATACTGTAAGCTGTATCCTTTATGTTTGTCTTACTATAATTTGTTTTCTTCGTTTGTATAAATGGAGGGAGCAGGTGGGACATTTGACTTTTCAAAAACCTTACCGTTTGGGCTGAAGGGCTCTTTTTAGTCTGGTTTTTACCTAGAATAGATTTCCGGGGGTCAATCAATTGACCTCATGAACCCCAGCAAAGAGATTAGTATGGGTAAGAACAATACACTCCTGGTCAAAGGCTCAAAACAAACCTCTTTGACTAGCCCCTGCATAAAAGTACCTTAACTTAACCTTTTGTAATTAATATCTATGCTTTTTTGGTCCATACATTATCATTTTACTTACAAGTACAAGTGTGCCAATTTGTAAAATCAAACATGATAGATGTTCAGAATGTTTTTGTTTGGTTCTTGTACATAGTAGGGTGGTGTACTAAAAACAATGTAATTATTGCTCTATGTTTAAGGTTTAATACACAAGAAAATATAAATAGTAATATAATATTATTAGGCCTGCGTTCCATCTTGGAAGTAGAGAAGTGAGATCAGAAGGTTTGTGGTGTCAATTATGCAGTTTGAGAAACAAGTTGCAACTTTTTTATGGTATAATTATTTATACATTTTATTACAATAATGGCATAGGTCTAGAGCTAGGGTCTATGGGAGTGTAGACACTGGCAACAATATCCCGGGACTAGTGTTGTTTTGCTATCAGGCTAGTGAGTTTTGTTCTTAAATTGCCCAACAGGCAAGTGAAATTCTTTGAGGAATTCAAATTACAGAAGGAATGTGTAATCAATCCTGCTCGTCAAAAAGGTTTTGGGGCTACACGAGATGACTTTTGGGATATTAACTGCTGGTTACAGCTTGCCCAAAGGCTAAGCTGTAAAACTGACTTTCTTTGCACCCTGAAATACACAGTAGTTATACTCCAAGAAAAATTTCCAGAGAGCAGGAGTTCAAAAACTTTCAATGTTATTGTAAAAATGGGTACAAAACAACATAAAGGCTTTACATGATGTAAGTTCAACCATTTGTTAAATTGAGATCATGCCATGGGTGTGCCTAGAATACACAAGCATATGTGCAACCTCAACATTGTGCTTACACAGACCTGTTTTACCCTTAGAACTTTACTTCAAAATAATCAGAATTCTGACAAAAAATAGTTTACTTTAGTTAAGTTTAGTTTAGTTGACCATCTTGTCACAAGCGAAAAAAAGTAGACATTAAAAATGAAACAAAGATGTTTCCCCAACTGTGTACTCAAAATGTTTTATTGGTTTAGAGTTAATATAATTAAGAATTACAGAAACTTTATAGTAATAATTAGGAATTAGGAACCATTCTTGAAATAAGTAATATTAACCTGTGGAAGATCAAAGTAATTTGAACATTCATAGGGGTCTTATCATAAGGTAATGTGCAATAGTTAGTTTACTTTACAAGTACATGTAATTCTCTCAACTTGAATGCTAAGAAATGGTTGTTCCAAATAATAAAATTTGCACTTCATGCAAATACTTGTCTCAACCTTTCTGATAATCAACATTGTTATCTAGTAAATAAAAGTATGATGACATGTGTTTATTAAGAATCAATGTATGACATGATCATGACATGTATTTATTAAGAATCAACTCACAAATCAAAACTTTTCATCCCAATTTGCAGCCAAGGGACATATTTTATCCTCTCACTTTCAGCTGGCCTAGGCTTTTTTATAAACATCCTGACAAAATAGACACCTTTTCTTCCAAGTCCTATTGTTCAATGAAAATAAATACAGTTGAACCTCTATTGAGCTGCTACACTGTACCTTCCCTTTACCAGCCAGTTACTGATGTCCAGGCAGACATCAGCAAATCACTGAAGAGACTACTTGAGGGCAACCTTAATTGAACAGAAACTTGTCCCTTTCCCAAGGTGGCTGCACAGTAAATGTAGTGAGGTCATTTGATTACCCACCCAAATAAAAATATTTTCATTCCATATACGCTCTCACTGTGACTGTCAGAAAACCAAGTGTATGAGAATTTGTTACAATTTTGCCTCATATAAGGTAGTCTGGATTCCGGATTGTGAAAAGCTTTGCTTGAATCCTGGCCCCATTTGTTTGAAGGTCGATTAGCGCTAACCCAGTGTTAAATTTTAATTCCCAGTTTCTTTTTCCTTCGTCCAAAAGCATCTCCGCTGACAATTTTTTTCTATTCTTTTTAG